GAACTGCTTTTGGTATCTTTCTAATGGCCATGAACTGCTGAGAAGCAAACGAGCGCATGTATTTGACCTTGTCCTGCCTCCTCCTGTGTCTAAACACACTGGTTTCCAACGCTAGAGCCCCAACTCGAACTGGTTCTCTGTAAAATAGCGCGAATGCTGGCACAGCGCTTGCCGAGCAGCTCTACCAGTCTCTTTTGAAGTGACTCGTACGCCTTGGCCACGTCCACTTGTGCCTTCGGTAGCACCTGGCTTCATGGCGAAGACGAAGCCTGCGAGACCTTGTCCGATGGGAACTGCAGCCCGGTATCGCGGGTATCCAGAGTTGCCAGCGACTCCTGCATCTGATTGAGAAGGTTGTGTAGGGCGGGTGGCGCCGCCGATAGCCGCTCGAAGTTCTTGTTCTTCTTCTCTTTGGCCAGCGTACGCTGCCCAAGCGCAAACGGACTCAACGACGAAAGACCGGAATCCAGCAGCCTGGTTCCGTCGACCCAGTATCATGACGCCGTGATCAAGCTGCCTTTCACAGTCTCTGGTGAACTTCAGCTTCCTTCCCGAGAAACTCTGGTCGTGGAACACGGAGGTTGCTGATCTCTCAGCGGACGTGATGGACGCTGTCGGCGGCCAGACCGAAGAGCACACAGACCTTGCTGGAGTGAACACACAGCTCCAGGACGACTTCGCAGCGCTGGTGGAGCAGCTTCGTGCTCCTCCGCCAAGTCTTCTGAGGACAAGGTGGCGCTGTCGCGGTATCCCGTGCCCACGTCGCCGCCGTCGCCGCTACTGTGAGACTCTTCAGCAGCTTCGGCACCACCCCACGGAGCGGAGGCCACCACAACGGCGACGAGTTCGTGTCTGCAGATTGACCGCACTCCCCGAGCGACGCAGCATCCTGGGCGAGCAAACGGCGGGAAGATCTGGAGTCCAGTCCACAATGCAACCGCGGTGCTGGCCGCCAGCCAGGCGGTGGAACAACTCAGCGCCACCCGACACGAACACCTTCTCCCACGCGGGCAGCAGCAGCACCAACACTCGACGCCGTCACGAATCGTAGGAGCTTTGTGGGGGTCACCGGCCAACGCGCTGGGGCAACTCGAGGCTTCCAGCCCGCCCCCACGTCGCCAATGTCCCAGAGGAGCGTGTTCCGGTTGCTGGACGGCGCCGCGTGGCTCTTGAACAGCGCGTGCGGGTCGCACTTGGCCACTGTCACCTCGATCTCCGTCTGGTGGTGCAGCTGTCCACGCTCAGCGCGTTCGTGTTCAGGTCCAGGTGCACGTTGACGTTCCCGTGGATCGTGGAGGCCCCAGCGTCGACACAGAGCCGCCCGACGCAGCGGACGCGTCTGTCGTACCGGACGCGCCTGCGGACACGGAGTGCGCGCCATGGCCCGCGTCCTGCGCGCTGCTGACGCCGCGAGAGTCGTGCTAGCTGCGGTGCCGTCCGCCCATTATTGCTGAGCTTGGCATGCTACTATTGCGAATTTTGTGTAATGTAATTTTCGGGAAAAGGCCAACTTCAACTTTTCGGATATGAGGCCAACTTCAACTTTTCGTTAGACGGCAGGGCCTACAGGTTCCAGCGATACGTGATGCATGGAATTGAGACCATTAACACTGCGTGGATGCCTTCAAGCACAGTACTGCCAAGCTCGTACTACGAACAAACACACCCACTAAGCTCATCTAAGGCCCGCTTTTCTCTACTTTGCGATGTGGTTCTCAAAATGCAGACGCAAAGACGCCGTCTAAGCTGCTCGAGTGTCCTCTTAACACGACCCTCGAACTACTGCATCGACGCCGACGCTTGCAGGTACTGCGCTATAAACAGAGTAGTGGGTGGCGTCAATGAACGAGTTCATCGCTTCAGGCACCGACGGCTGTCTTTCAGAAGAGGACGGCGAGTGAGGCGCCTCTGCTGCGCTGAAGCATTCCGTTCAGTGCGGACACGTGAAGCATGCATTCCGAGCGTATAGTTAACTCAATAGCAAAGGTCGCTGGATCTTTTCTTGAAGCACACCTGCGACAAAAGACAAATGGTTGGCTCGCCGTGGGCCGAGCTCGAGGAGCTACTGATACCATATTCATCCTGGTGATCGCGAATCTTGGTACCGTATTGCCAGGCAGCGCGGCGTCGAAAGAATGTAAGCATTACTTGCTGCCAGCCCGGTGAGAATATGGTATGCTTGGGATCTTTGGTTTGCCACGAGCCAAGGAGAGGAGAAGAGCATGGCCTGCCTGATGCATGTACAGTAGGGTTGACAGCCAAAGCGTAGCCACTCAGAGCATCACCCCGATCCGTTTCGTTCCGGCGGTGCCTTGAGTGGGAGACGCACAAACTGCAGCCGACGCCAAGTCAGAACTTACGAGCCCGACGCCGAATTTATTTCGAACTTATTTCGTGGAACCGCATTGTTGAAGTTGCGTGCTATAGCCGTGCGAACGTGGCTCTCGAGTTGAAGATGGCTACACGAGTTGAACTGAACCATGAACTGAACCATGCTGTCGCAGCAGTGGTATGAGAGAGGGATCGGCCCACTTGGCGGCGCCCCTGTCGAGGCCTTCTCATTCTCCAATATCCTGCCTCGCCAGCAAGCCTCCCCACCCAGCACCCGCCCAGGCTCCCTCCCCATCCAGCCATGGCTCCGTCCGTCCGCCGCCTCGTGGCCCTGTTCGAGTCCCGCGCCGCCGTCCGCACCGCGACACGCGCCTCCGCAGCCACAGCGACCAGCAGGACGAGGGTCTCCACCCTCATCGAGTTCTACAGCGCCTCGTCGACCATCGCGTCCAGCTCCGTCGAGACGACCGACGTCGTACGTTCCTCCACGGTCGCAGCAGTGTAAGCCAGCACGTGATGAGGTGCAGCTCAGGCACGGGATGCAATCGATCGGCCGAAAACTCGACCATCGACCCCGCCGCTCGATGAACAGGAAGGTCTCAGGCGCGCACGTAATGAGGTGCAGCCTAGACCACGTCCGTCAAGCAGCAGAGGTCGACTGCAAACCTGGGTCTGGAAATGCACGCACTACTACACAGTTCACATGCATGTCGTTCGGGAGTAACGTCGCTCAGAGCTTCCAGAGCGGACGTTGGGGCTTCGCTGCTGCCGCGCTGCGCCGCCGCCTTGCCTGCGCGCACTGCCCGACAAACGCCGCGCTCTGCTTGAAGTCCAACAGGCGGGACTTGGTAGCTTGCGGAGCTGCAGCAGCTCGGACGTGCGGCTGGGTCTCCGAAGGCTTGGGCTCAACGACTGCAGGCGCAGCGTCAGCAGCAGCCGCGTCGTGGACGCGGTCGAGGAGGTCGTCGGCCTCCTGCAGGAGCTGGCTGTAGCTCTTGACGTCGGCGTCGTCGACAGGGCCGACGGGCAGCTCAGCAGGAGGCGCTTGTTGGAGGCAGTCTTCGTCGTCTTCGTCGTCGGCGGCGGCAGCAGTGACTTCGTGGAGCTCTTCAGTCGGCTCCAGCGCCGTGAAGCCTTGGCCTTGGTCTTGGTCTTGGTCGTCGACGGCTGGAGCTTCGAAACCGGAGTAGCCGTACTGGAACTCGGCAAACCTCGCCGCGTCGAGGAGCTGGATGGACCAGCGGGGGTCGAGCGTCTCCACTGCTGCGACCGCGGAGGAGCGTGCGACGTCGGTCGCCTCGACGGAGCTGGACGCGATGGTCGACGAGGCGCTGTAGGACTCGATGAGGGTGGAGACCCTCGTCCTGCTGGTCGCTGCGGCTGCGGAGGCGCGTGTCGCGGTGCGGACGGCGGCGCGGGACTCGAACAGGGCCACGAGGCGGCGGACGGACGGAGCCGTGGCTGGATGGGGAGGGAGCCTGGGCGGGTGCTGGGTGGGGAGGCTTGCTGGCGAGGCAGGATATTGGAGAATGAGAAGGCCTCGACAGGGGCGCCGCCAAGTGGGCCGATCCCTCTCTCATACCACTGCTGCGACAGCATGGTTCAGTTCATGGTTCAGTTCAACTCGTGTGAGAGCCACGTTCGCACGGCTATAGCACGCAACTTCAACAATGCGGTTCCACGAAATAAGTTCGAAATAAATTCGGCGTCGGGCTCGTAAGTTCTGACTTGGCGTCGGCTGCAGTTTGTGCGTCTCCCACTCAAGGCACCGCCGGAACGAAACGGATCGGGGTGATGCTCTGAGTGGCTACGCTTTGGCTGTCAACCCTACTGTACATGCATCAGGCAGGCCATGCTCTTCTCCTCTCCTTGGCTCGTGGCAAACCAAAGATCCCAAGCATACCATATTCTCACCGGGCTGGCAGCAAGTAATGCTTACATTCTTTCGACGCCGCGCTGCCTGGCAATACGGTACCAAGATTCGCGATCACCAGGATGAATATGGTATCAGTAGCTCCTCGAGCTCGGCCCACGGCGAGCCAACCATTTGTCTTTTGTCGCAGGTGTGCTTCAAGAAAAGATCCAGCGACCTTTGCTATTGAGTTAACTATACGCTCGGAATGCATGCTTCACGTGTCCGCACTGAACGGAATGCTTCAGCGCAGCAGAGGCGCCTCACTCGCCGTCCTCTTCTGAAAGACAGCCGTCGGTGCCTGAAGCGATGAACTCGTTCATTGACGCCACCCACTACTCTGTTTATAGCGCAGTACCTGCAAGCGTCGGCGTCGATGCAGTAGTTCGAGGGTCGTGTTAAGAGGACACTCGAGCAGCTTAGACGGCGTCTTTGCGTCTGCATTTTGAGAACCACATCGCAAAGTAGAGAAAAGCGGGCCTTAGATGAGCTTAGTGGGTGTGTTTGTTCGTAGTACGAGCTTGGCAGTACTGTGCTTGAAGGCATCCACGCAGTGTTAATGGTCTCAATTCCATGCATCACGTATCGCTGGAACCTGTAGGCCCTGCCGTCTAACGAAAAGTTGAAGTTGGCCTTTTCCCGAAAATTACATTACACAAAATTCGCAATAGTAGCATGCCAAGCTCAGCAATAATGGGCGGACGGCACCGCAGCTAGCACGACTCTCGCGGCGTCAGCAGCGCGCAGGACGCGGGCCATGGCGCGCACTCCGTGTCCGCAGGCGCGTCCGGTACGACAGACGCGTCCGCTGCGTCGGGCGGCTCTGTGTCGACGCTGGGGCCTCCACGATCCACGGGAACGTCAACGTGCACCTGGACCTGAACACGAACGCGCTGAGCGTGGACAGCTGCACCACCAGACGGAGATCGAGGTGACAGTGGCCAAGTGCGACCCGCACGCGCTGTTCAAGAGCCACGCGGCGCCGTCCAGCAACCGGAACACGCTCCTCTGGGACATTGGCGACGTGGGGGCGGGCTGGAAGCCTCGAGTTGCCCCAGCGCGTTGGCCGGTGACCCCCACAAAGCTCCTACGATTCGTGACGGCGTCGAGTGTTGGTGCTGCTGCTGCCCGCGTGGGAGAAGGTGTTCGTGTCGGGTGGCGCTGAGTTGTTCCACCGCCTGGCTGGCGGCCAGCACCGCGGTTGCATTGTGGACTGGACTCCAGATCTTCCCGCCGTTTGCTCGCCCAGGATGCTGCGTCGCTCGGGGAGTGCGGTCAATCTGCAGACACGAACTCGTCGCCGTTGTGGTGGCCTCCGCTCCGTGGGGTGGTGCCGAAGCTGCTGAAGAGTCTCACAGTAGCGGCGACGGCGGCGAGGATACCGCGACAGCGCCACCTTGTCCTCAGAAGACTTGGCGGAGGAGCACGAAGCTGCTCCACCAGCGCTGCGAAGTCGTCCTGGAGCTGTGTGTTCACTCCAGCAAGGTCTGTGTGCTCTTCGGTCTGGCCGCCGACAGCGTCCATCACGTCCGCTGAGAGATCAGCAACCTCCGTGTTCCACGACCAGAGTTTCTCGGGAAGGAAGCTGAAGTTCACCAGAGACTGTGAAAGGCAGCTTGATCACGGCGTCATGATACTGGGTCGACGGAACCAGGCTGCTGGATTCCGGTCTTTCGTCGTTGAGTCCGTTTGCGCTTGGGCAGCGTACGCTGGCCAAAGAGAAGAAGAACAAGAACTTCGAGCGGCTATCGGCGGCGCCACCCGCCCTACACAACCTTCTCAATCAGATGCAGGAGTCGCTGGCAACTCTGGATACCCGCGATACCGGGCTGCAGTTCCCATCGGACAAGGTCTCGCAGGCTTCGTCTTCGCCATGAAGCCAGGTGCTACCGAAGGCACAAGTGGACGTGGCCAAGGCGTACGAGTCACTTCAAAAGAGACTGGTAGAGCTGCTCGGCAAGCGCTGTGCCAGCATTCGCGCTATTTTACAGAGAACCAGTTCGAATTGGGGCTCTAGCGTTGGAAACCAGTGTGTTTAGACACAGGAGGAGGCAGGACAAGGTCAAATACATGCGCTCGTTTGCTTCTCAGCAGTTCATGGCCATTAGAAAGATACCAAAAGCAGTTCATGTTGCGATATAAGGAGTACACAAACAAATTGGTGGTATCATGAGGACGTTAGTTAATTTATGTGGATCCAGGTCTGCGCGTCAAGCCTCGAGTCCTCTCGAAGGCTGATCCTGCACCCTAAGCCAGCACGTGATGAGGTGCAGCTCAAGCGCGGGATGCAATCGATCGGCCGAAAACTTGACCATCGACCCCGCCGCTCGATGAGCAGGAAGGTCTCAGGCGCGCACGTAATGAGGTGCAGCCTAGACCACGTCCGTTAAGCAGCAGAGGTCGACTTCCCTTACGATGAGTGCCTAAAGTCTGGCGGAAAGTGTCTCTGGAGAATGTATCCCGGTGTACGCCTCATCTTGCCGTGGCTCAGAGTGCTCCAGAGGATCAAATTACCATGAGAATGAACCCACTACTACCATGATCATGCGCAGGAGGCCGCTAAACCCACTGAAAGTGTGGCTTTGAGGAGATACACACGAGTCCGCACTGCAGCAGACTTGTTACCCAGAGTGTCGCACGGAAACCTAGAGTGCCGCACGATGACCCAGAGTTCACCTCCCTGAGTGCAGGTGACCCAGAGTTCCAAAGATGATTCTCTGGGTTTGGGCCATACATCCAGACCCTCTATACTGAACTGAAGTGTTTCCCGAGCCAACACCCAAGAATCCCCACAGTTCCCCAAGATTCCTCAGAATTCCCAGGATTTCAGAAGATGACCCTGAGTGTCACCTGGTTTTCAGGGATTCGAGCCAGTTTGAAGCCAGTCTGCAATCAAAATGATGCGTGACCTTGAAGAACCGTCATGGAAGCACAGACTGGATACTTTCGAGGAGTCGAGAGGGAGTCCTTCACCATACTAAACCAAGTCTAAGGACCCACAATTGGCACTTCCGACGCCGTGCGACAATGGATTCGCAAGCCGATCGCAAGTTTGGACCGCTGATCCCAAGGTATACTCAAGACAAGACATTTTGACCCCAAGCATAGTGAACAGAAGATATTTGCCCGAAGAAGAGAGAGAGAGAGAAGTAGCTGATAAAAACCAAACAGAGTTCCTTTTACCCTGTACTGCGTAAGTGACTTCGGCCAAGCCTGCCGACTGAAATCCGGAGGACCCGAGACTACGACCGCGGGACGCTAAGGGCATATCAACGGCGAAAGACAGCCGTCTGTGTGGGCTCCATCAAACTCAAGTCCAGTGAGGTCGTGACCAGCGACGGCCTTGAGCTTCCTGGGGTGATCCATCTATTCCATATCCTAGTTGGGTCACTTGCTGTGCTCGTGGTAGCCCATTTCATATTATTCCAGAGGGTATTCTGGGGTGCTAGGTAGTCGCCTCCAGGATTTTGTATTGACTGCTTGTGTGAAGGGAAGGTAACTGATAGTGATTGTATTTTCCTCTTTTATTGGAGGTGGTGCGCGTTCGTGTGAGTCTCAGGGGAGCTAGGCACCTGAATTTCAGACTCGAGTGAACCTAGTGTGTGTGACCCACCGTCCAAGGGTCCAAAAGAATAAGTGACGGCTAGTTGTAGTGTTTGTATACTCTGTATTTGTTCGTTTTATCGAGCTAGGAGGGCATTTGGGTAAGGTGTCTTCTGAGTTCCAAGTCCCAGAGTTGACTGAATCCTGGACCCTGAATTCGTGATATTCTGGGTTTCAGGAGATCTGATTCTCTGGGTTTGCTTTTTGGTGTGGAGGTGCGTTCTGAAGTAGACGTGCGCCCCCGCACTTCTTCGAGGTTACATTTTTAACCGGTGGAGTGCCGTTTCGTCGAAGACAAACGAGCCGACAGGGATTACACAAGGTGCCCACGCCAACCAAGGAGTGTGATTCTCAGGGTTTAAAGCTTTGCGGCTGCGAATCTCTGGGTCTATCTTCTTGCTGTTGACTCTCAAGTCGATTCTCTGGGTCTACCCCTGGGGAACAGTCTTGGGCTGCGCTATACGAACCCCCTGGGCGACAAAGGTTTCATCGGCCTCGCCTCACCAGTTGTTTTTGCTGCTTACAGGCAAGCGTCTGCTGCTGCAGCTGTACAAGCTGTCGTACACAGTCAAGCTGTTGGGCTCGGTCGCACTGCTCAACCCGCTGCATTCGTACCTGGCGTTCGAAGGCCTGGGGGAGAGGCCCACGCAGGATTCCCGCGCTCAAGGATTCCGACATCTTTCCGCGTTGATGTAAGCGGCGAAGACGACGGCAGGAGCTGATGCGGTATGGCGTGCTCCGAACAATGGTGTGTTGTATATCATGTTGTCCTGTATACTGCATTGCATGCAGTTTATTAGACTGATGTTGTATCGTAGCCTACATGAGCTAACCAGATTAATATTGATGCTGTTGAAGGAGACTACGGCGACCAAGCAGTCATGATCAGCCCGAAAACGAGCCGGCCTGAGTGAAGGCGACGACTCGAATGAGGTAGTAGCGAAAAGAACGAGCCGAGACGAATTCCGGCCAAGCCGGAGATGCCGCTTTGGTGTTCATTGTATGACCGATGGGCAAACGAGCCGACACCTGGCATGGCTGGCGCTGCTAATGATAAGGGCGAGAGGTAGTAACGTGAACGTTAGCAAACTAATATAAGCGATTTGGATAAATGCAATTGCAGTCGATGCGGTTCCCAGTATAGCGAGGCTTTGGATACCCACACACATAGTTGTAGATGCAACTTTGCCTTTGTATGCTCCAATTAGCGAAACGGCTTGTAATCGCTGCTTTCCTGTTGACTGGATTGGCAAAGGCATGGCTTTGGCATCTATCAATCAAAGCAGCAGCTAATTGAAGTATTCAACTGTAGAACTTCTTGCACCCATGGAGAAACCATGTGGTAAACTACATCCACCTCAAGCATGAATGCAGGTGTAGCGCTTTAGTGTGTGTTGTTAGTTGGGAAGGGTCCAGGCAACTAACTACTTCGGTGTTGAAGTCAGTGAAATTTGACTTAGTGATCAAACTTGGTAATTCTCGCTGCTTTGTTGCTTCTACTACAGAATGACATGCTTCTGTCTGCAACGACATGCATCTTAGGTATTGTCTTATGTACACAATGGTAACGTTTCATTTGATTACCCCCTGGATATTTTTCTGGATGTCTATTTCATTTTATGTTTGTATACGGTAGTGCATAGAATGCCTCCGGACGTGCCACATGTTTACAGAACGCCTAGAGGTGACACCTACTTTGTATATAAGTTTTTGTATGGGAAGTTTCAAATTACGATTTTTTTAAAATCGGGACTCGCTAGGGCCCTAGTTTCTGTTCGGCGGGCATCCTGTCACTATCCGTGGTAAGTAGCATTATTCAGCATGGGTATGCCACACTGGAGCCAGCACGGCCTTGTTGGCCTCCATCGTGAATCCTATCTTCCCTAACCATTTTTGAATACAAACATCAAGTCTAATTACGCTGCATACGGTATGCAGTTTACATGTTCTTTTCGGCTCCCGGTCTGGAGGGGTTAAACTTGTTACTGTACACATGTACATATGCAACCGGCTCTGTAGAGTAATCTTGACGGGAAGATATGCAAAGCTGGATGGTGGATGTACCGTATCGTTGGCAAGATCCGCTCAATAAGGGCTGGAGTCGCCACAATACATCTTCTGTCAGTTCTAGATTTTCGACGAAGAGCACGCAACTACCCGTCCCTCCAGTCGCGATGAAGCTCGGACTACCCTTTGCTATCGCGCTCTCTGCTCTTGTTGCAGCCCAAGCTGCTGTCATTGACTATGACAAGGTCCAGCCGTTCCCTGAGCTCGAGCCCAAAACGATTTCCGAGAAGGCTGCTATCAAGTACAAGCCCAGCCTGGCCATCAAGGACGGCTGCCGCTCTTACGCTGCTGTGAATGCGGCCGGCGACACGAGCGGCGGAATGGACCCAATGGCGCCCGACGGAGGAACGGTAGAGAAAAACCCGTACGGTCACGGCTGCAGGGGATCGGTATTGGGCTCGCAAGTGTACAGCCGATCTGGGTGGTACCGCGACGTTTGGGCCATCATGTACGCTTGGTACTTCCCCAGAGACATCAGTTGGGATGAGGCGAGCTACCCACCCGTCCGCCATGACTGGATCAACACCATCGTCTGGCTTAACAACCCGGCGCTGGAGAATCCGTCGCTTCTCGGAGTCTCTGCCTCCCGGGAAGACGCCGAATACGTGGCCTATCCTCCTACCGTGAAGGAGTTTATGAACGGCACCCACCCCAAGATGGAGTACTTCATGGGCTTTTATGTGGGCGGGTATCACACAATTGATGTGTCGTTGGAAGCGGGCGACTTTCAAGACCTCGTCCATTGGTCGCAGCTGACGGACCAAGCGCGCAAGGCTTTGGAGACTGCGGACTTCGGTGTGGTAACCCCCGTCCCCTTCAACGACGTCAACTTCGAGAAGAATCTAGAGCGGGGCTGGTATCAGAACGACACGATCCTAGAACACAAGATCGGGATCGTGTAGTTGCCCCTACACACGATTCGAAAGCTGTACTCGTTATCAGAATACTGCAGGAAAAAGTAATTTTGAGAGTGCATTTGGCTACCAAGTACGCACCGATTGCCAGTCAGCTTCCAAAACTGCCTAAAGTACTCTGCAATCCACTCTCGGACTAGATCCCAATTTGGAAGACTCGCTCGCAGGTCGTGGCGGTGCAGATACGAGGCCCGCGTATCGCTACGTGTATGACGTACGGTACCGGTACTGACCGCGAGTGTACACATTTTCGAGGACCCCTCCGGATCGATGAAGCCGAAGTGAGGTTAGATACTACTTATTGGTGATAACGTTTTCGCGATAACATAGCAAAGTTGCTGTTGTGCAGCAATTTTAAGAAGACATCGCAAGTGCAAGCAATCGCCTCTAACAGCGCTTTCGACATAGGACCAAGTCAAACCGAATTGTCACCAATGCGCGATAACCGCACTGGCAGTAAAAAGAAAAGTTTTAATTGATTTTTTATTTTTATGGTACTCTCAATTTCTGTAGGTAACAACTACTAATTTTTACTTTATTTATTTAACTTGCGTTTTGTTGGTGACGGAAGCGCGGCTGGCGCAATGGAAAGCGTATCAAACTTCGAATCTGGGGGTTGCGGGTTCGAGTCCCGCGTTCCGTACATTTTTGCAGTGCAAAAGTGTGCAATATTTGCACGAGTACGTACACGGCCTCGTCCCTTGCGTCGAAAGCGCTGGTAGCAAAATAGCTGGCTAAATGCGTTCAAGTGCACGCGTACACTCGCCACGCTGTACCATGGCAACAAAACGCTTCCCGATCCGTATGGCTCGGTGTACCATGTGATCCGAATTTAAGGCCGAATTTAGAGTTGATACTCCACACCAGCAATTGTTTGGGCTGTCAGTGAAGATCGCGGCTCTTGGTCCAGCGACTGTTCCAGGCGGGATATCTCTCCCCCATGGATATCAACCCGCGACGGACGGCGGCCACACAGCCAGCCAAGATCTTCTCTCTCTCTCTTGTCGATGCTTTCCATCGTCTGCATCGATTCGCCACTTCTCGTCCCGAGTAGAAGGTCGTCCAAGTCCTGCGTAGCGTCGTTTCCACGTGCGCGCCAATGCTTTCGAGCCCCATCCGGCTCTTCCTCCCGCTGGCGGTAGTCGCCACCGTATTGCTCGGTGTCTCGGCCGAGCCCGAGTGGTGGCTCGTGCCGCCGATCGACTGCCAAGTCGGGCCCTGGGGCGACTTCAGCGGCTGCTCCGCCGCCTACTCCACGGTCAAGACCCGGCGCCGCAACGTCGTGGTCTGGCCGCTGTTCGGCGGGGCGCCGTGCCCTGCACTGGAGGAGTCGCAGCCCTGCGTGCGCGTCGACTGCCAGGTCGGACCCTGGAGCGCCTACACGTGCAACCCTTTCACGGGCTGGAAGACGCGCTCGCGGGTGGTCACGGTCCGGCCGCAGGACGGAGGCGCCGCCTGCCCCGCGCTCTCCCAGAGCGTACCGTGCGACCCCATCAACTGCGTCGTGAGTGACTGGACGCCGTGGAGCACGTGCCTGCTCAAGGTCAAGTCCCGGGCGAGAACAGTGCAGACGTTCCCGCTGTACGGCGGCTTGGCGTGTCCGTCGCTGGTGGAAGTTCAGGCTTGCGTCCCCGTGGACTGCGCGGTGGGGGCCTGGAGTGCGTTCAAGATCCTGGGCACGATCAAGACTCGCTCCCGTGAAGACACGTGCCAGCCAGACGGCGGGTTGCCGTGTCCTCCGCTCGTCGAGCAGGTTCCGTGCAATCCGGTGGACTGCAGCCCGGTATCGCGGGTATCCAGAGTTGCCAGCGACTCCTGCATCTGATTGAGAAGGTTGTGTAGGGCGGGTGGCGCCGCCGATAGCCGCTCGAAGTTCTTGTTCTTCTTCTCTTTGGCCAGCGTACGCTGCCCAAGCGCAAACGGACTCAACGACGAAAGACCGGAATCCAGCAGCCTGGTTCCGTCGACCCAGTATCATGACGCCGTGATCAAGCTGCCTTTCACAGTCTCTGGTGAACTTCAGCTTCCTTCCCGAGAAACTCTGGTCGTGGAACACGGAGGTTGCTGATCTCTCAGCGGACGTGATGGACGCTGTCGGCGGCCAGACCGAAGAGCACACAGACCTTGCTGGAGTGAACACACAGCTCCAGGACGACTTCGCAGCGCTGGTGGAGCAGCTTCGTGCTCCTCCGCCAAGTCTTCTGAGGACAAGGTGGCGCTGTCGCGGTATCCTCGCCGCCGTCGCCGCTACTGTGAGACTCTTCAGCAGCTTCGGCACCACCCCACGGAGCGGAGGCCACCACAACGGCGACGAGTTCGTGTCTGCAGATTGACCGCACTCCCCGAGCGACGCAGCATCCTGGGCGAGCAAACGGCGGGAAGATCTGGAGTCCAGTCCACAATGCAACCGCGGTGCTGGCCGCCAGCCAGGCGGTGGAACAACTCAGCGCCACCCGACACGAACACCTTCTCCCACGCGGGCAGCAGCAGCACCAACACTCGACGCCGTCACGAATCGTAGGAGCTTTGTGGGGGTCACCGGCCAACGCGCTGGGGCAACTCGAGGCTTCCAGCCCGCCCCCACGTCGCCAATGTCCCAGAGGAGCGTGTTCCGGTTGCTGGACGGCGCCGCGTGGCTCTTGAACAGCGCGTGCGGGTCGCACTTGGCCACTGTCACCTCGATCTCCGTCTGGTGGTGCAGCTGTCCACGCTCAGCGCGTTCGTGTTCAGGTCCAGGTGCACGTTGACGTTCCCGTGGATCGTGGAGGCCCCAGCGTCGACACAGAGCCGCCCGACGCAGCGGACGCGTCTGTCGTACCGGACGCGCCTGCGGACACGGAGTGCGCGCCATGGCCCGCGTCCTGCGCGCTGCTGACGCCGCGAGAGTCGTGCTAGCTGCGGTGCCGTCCGCCCATTATTGCTGAGCTTGGCATGCTACTATTGCGAATTTTGTGTAATGTAATTTTCGGGAAAAGGCCAACTTCAACTTTTCGGATATGAGGCCAACTTCAACTTTTCGTTAGACGGCAGGGCCTACAGGTTCCAGCGATACGTGATGCATGGAATTGAGACCATTAACACTGCGTGGATGCCTTCAAGCACAGTACTGCCAAGCTCGTACTACGAACAAACACACCCACTAAGCTCATCTAAGGCCCGCTTTTCTCTACTTTGCGATGTGGTTCTCAAAATGCAGACGCAAAGACGCCGTCTAAGCTGCTCGAGTGTCCTCTTAACACGACCCTCGAACTACTGCATCGACGCCGACGCTTGCAGGTACTGCGCTATAAACAGAGTAGTGGGTGGCGTCAATGAACGAGTTCATCGCTTCAGGCACCGACGGCTGTCTTTCAGAAGAGGACGGCGAGTGAGGCGCCTCTGCTGCGCTGAAGCATTCCGTTCAGTGCGGACACGTGAAGCATGCATTCCGAGCGTATAGTTAACTCAATAGCAAAGGTCGCTGGATCTTTTCTTGAAGCACACCTGCGACAAAAGACAAATGGTTGGCTCGCCGTGGGCCGAGCTCGAGGAGCTACTGATACCATATTCATCCTGGTGATCGCGAATCTTGGTACCGTATTGCCAGGCAGCGCGGCGTCGAAAGAATGTAAGCATTACTTGCTGCCAGCCCGGTGAGAATATGGTATGCTTGGGATCTTTGGTTTGCCACGAGCCAAGGAGAGGAGAAGAGCATGGTCTGCCTGATGCATGTACAGTAGGGTTGACAGCCAAAGCGTAGCCACTCAGAGCATCACCCCGATCCGTTTCGTTCCGGCGGTGCCTTGAGTGGGAGACGCACAAACTGCAGCCGACGCCAAGTCAGAACTTACGAGCCCGACGCCGAATTTATTTCGAACTTATTTCGTGGAACCGCATTGTTGAAGTTGCGTGCTATAGCCGTGCGAACGTGGCTCTCGAGTTGAAGATGGCTACACGAGTTGAACTGAACCATGAACTGAACCATGCTGTCGCAGCAGTGGTATGAGAGAGGGATCGGCCCACTTGGCGGCGCCCCTGTCGAGGCCTTCTCATTCTCCAATATCCTGCCTCGCCAGCAAGCCTCCCCACCCAGCACCCGCCCAGGCTCCCTCCCCATCCAGCCATGGCTCCGTCCGTCCGCCGCCTCGTGGCCCTGTTCGAGTCCCGCGCCGCCGTCCGCACCGCGACACGCGCCTCCGCAGCCGCAGCGTTCAGCAGGACGAGGGTCTCCACCCTCATCGAGTCCTACAGCGCCTCGTCGACCATCGCGTCCAGCTCCGTCGAGGCGACCGACGTCGTACGCTCCTCCGCGGTCGCAGCAGTGGAGACGCTCGACCCCCGCTGGTCCATCCAGCTCCTCGACGCGGCGAGGTTTGCCGAGTTCCAGTACGGCTACTCCGGTTTCGAAGCTCCAGCCGTCGACGACCAAGACCAAGACCAAGGCCAAGGCTTCACGGCGCTGGAGCCGACTGAAGAGCTCCACGACGTCACTGTTGCCGCCGCCGCCGACGAAGACGACGAAGACTGCCTCCAACAAGCGCCTCCTGCTGAGCTGCCCGTCGGCCCTGTCGACGACGCCGACGTCAAGAGCTACAGCCAGCTCCTGCAGGAGGCCGACGACCTCCTCGACCGCGTCCACGACGCGGCTGCTGCTGACGCTGCGCCTGCAGTCGTTGAGCCCAAGCCTTCGGAGACCCAGCCGCACGTCCGAGCTGCTGCAGCTCCGCAAGCTACCAAGTCCCGCCTGTTCGACTTCAAGCAGAGCGCGGCGTTTGTCGGGCAGTGCGCGCAGGCAAGGCGGCGGCGCAGCGCGGCAGCAGCGAAGCCCCAACGTCCGCTCTGGAAGCTCTGAGCGACGTTACTCCCGAACGACATGGATGTGAACTGTGTACAGTAGTAGTAGTAGTGCGTGCATTTCCAGACCCAGGTTTGCAGTCGACCTCTGCTGCTTGACGGACGTGGTCTAGGCTGCACCTCATTACGTGCGCGCCTGAGACCTTCCTGTTCATCGAGCGGCGGGGTCGATGGTCAAGTTTTCGGCCGATCGATTGCATCCCGCGCCTGAGCTGCACCTCATCACGTGCTGGCTTAGGGTGCAGGATCAGCCTTCGAGAGGACTCGAGGCTTGACGCGCAGACCTGGATCCACATAACTTAACTAACGTCCTCATGATACCACCAATTTGTTTACTCCTGACATCGCAACATGAACTGCTTTTGGTATCTTTCTAATGGCCATGAACTGCTGAGAAGCAAACGAGCGCATGTATTTGACCTTGTCCTGCCTCCTCCTGTGTCTAAACACACTGGTTTCCAACGCTAGAGCCCCAATTCGAACTGATTCTCTGTAAAATAGCGCGAATGCTGGCACAGCGCTCGCCGAGCAGCTCTACCAGTCTCTTTTGAAGTGACTCGTACGCCTTGGCCACGTCCACTTGTGCCTTCGGTAGCACCTGGCTTCATGGCGAAGACGAAGCCTGCGAGACCTTGTCCGATGGGAACTGCAGCCCGGTAACGCGGGTATCCAGAGTTGCCAGCGACTCCTGCATCTGATTGAGAAGGTTGTGGCGCCGCCGATAGCTGCTCGAACTTCTTGTTCTACTTCTTGGCTAGTGAGTGTACGCTGCGCAAGCGACAAAGCGCTCAGCGCCGACAGACCGAATCCAGCAGCAGCGGCGACAAGAACGTGGGCAAGGCGTACGGAGACAGCACCACCAGGTCCTCAGAAGAGTTAGCGGAGGAGAACGCCAGTACCGCGCGAAACAGCTCGACAATCGCTGTGAAGTCGTCCTGGAGCTGCTAGATCACCGGCCGCTGATGGCATCCACTACGTCTGCTGGCAGAGCAACAGCCTCCGAGCGCCACTTCCAGACCTTCCCGCGAAGCTGAACTTCATCAAAGCCTGTGGGGTATAGTTTGGCCACGACGCCAAACCAGCCGAAGCTGAGTAGCCATCCGCTGCGAGACTCATCAGCAGCTTCGGCACCAACCCACGGAGCTGAAGCCACCACAGCGACGACGTCTGCAGATCGATCGCATTCTACGAGCACTCCACGAGCGATGCGGCATCCTGGGCAAACAAACCGCCCGTGGGGATCTGCTCCTGAGAAGTCCAGTCCACAATGACATAGCGGTGTTGCCGGCGAAACACAACTCAGCGCCATCAGGCACGAGTATGCTCTCCAACACGGCCAATTGCTGCAGCGGAAGACGTCACGAGGCCATGGAGCGTTGTGGCGTCATGACCCAACGCAGTGAGCAGCTCGAGGCCCCATCCCACGCCGCTTGCTGGACGACGCCGCGTGGCTCTTGAGCAGCGCGTGCGGGTTGCACTTGACCATCGTCACCTCGAGCTTCGTCTGGGGGTGCAGCGTGGCCGGCGGCAGGAACGGCGCCTCCAGGTCCACGAGATGCCGGCTTGCGGCCCGACAGCACGGCTAGAGCTCAGCGCTCGCGTTCAGGTCCAGGTGCACGTTGACGTTTCCGTGGATCGTGGAGCCCCGCGCGGTAGCTGCGGCGCATTCTTGCAGTGCTCCGGTGAAATTTGTGCCTGCTGTCTATTGGGATTTTTGTGGTTGGCCTCAAAGGCCCAACTTTAACTTTTCGGATAAATGGCCAACTTCAACTTTTGCTGGTCTACAGGAAACGTGTGCAATTCTTATCTAACGTTAGTGTGTCACCCCACTTCAATCCACCATGCATTATGCGGCATAATTTATGCCCGATCAAGGTGTTGCTGACCTAACATGTTGCACGCCTTAAAAATACGACTTGATCTTCGCGGCGATATCGTCGACGCGCGCCGCCTGGGTGAAGAAGTCGAGGAACTCACCGTCAGGGCCAACGAGGTACATCACAATGGAGTGGTCCACCAGATAGTCGTCGTCCTCCTCCTCGTTCTCGTCTGCCTTGGAGAAGTACACGCGGTAGGCCTTGGTGATGTCCGCCACTTGGTCGCGCGTGCCCGTAAGCATCTTGAACTTTGGGTGGAAGTCGGCCTTGTAGGCCTGCATCTGCCCCACGGTGTCGCGCTTGGGGTCCACCGTCACGAACAGCGGAGCGACCTTAGGGCACTTTTCCGCCTCCAGCTTGTCCAGCACGTCGCCGATGCGCACCAGCTCATTGGGGGCAGATGTCCGGGCAGTGCGTGAAGCCGAAGTACAGCAGCGAGTACTTGCCGCGGAATGTCGCGTCCGTCACCGCGCGCCTCGTGTCGCAGTCCACGAGAGTCCATGGTCCGCCCAGCAGCGGCTTGCCCACCGACGTCACCTTGCTCGTGGCTAACAGCAGCAGTAGCAGCAGTAATGACAAGCACCAATCCAGAAGTCCTTGCTGCAGTAGAATCCTCCAGATAGATCAAACGCACACTGGGTCTGCAGCCGGTCCTTCTCCGAGTAGTAGTAGTACACGATACCGCTGCCCACGACGCCCGCCAGCGCCAAGCCGCTCCACGTACCAGGCTGCCAGCGCAAAGACATCGACACAATCAGTGCGTCAAGCGTATCTACGGTATTCAAACGACCGGCACTGCGCAGTCCTCACCCCGAACTTGTCGCTGCGCGTGCCGGGCGCCGGTGCGTCCGAGAACATGCGCCTCGCCGCGTGTCCGCGACGCAACACCCGTGGCCGTCACCACTCGCCCCGCCATGCTCGTGACAACTTGAAAAGTGTCGATCGACCGCCAGCTAACAAAGTGAAGAGAGCAATCCTGCTGATTGCTCACACCATTGGCCTCCATTTCAGCGAATCACCGACCGCCAATCGATTGGGGGGGATCACTACAGTTACTGTAGTACAGAACAGTATCGGTATCGGATCCGCTTGGACCATGGACGTTATGGCGCGCTACGTGCGGCCCATCTACGAGGCTATCGACGCGCGCCAGTACAAGAATGCCATCAAGCTGTGCGCGCACAAGCGCGTGGCGCAGCTGGACATCGTGCAGGTGCTCAAGGCGCACTGCCTGGAGCGCACGGGCCGCGTGGACGAGGCGCTGGACATCTGCCGCCGCGTGCAGCTCAAGCAGCCGACGGACGAGACGCTGCTCAACACCATGAACCTGGTCTTCAAGCTGGGCGGCTGCGAGCACGAGATGCTGCCCACCTTCGAGCACGCGTGCGCCGTGAGCAGCCCGCCCAACGAGGAGCTCTACGTGGCGCTCTTCGTGGCCTACGCGCGCCGCGGCGCCTTCCTCAAGCAGCAGCAGACGGCGCTCAAGATGTTCAAGGCCTTCGGCAACATCAAGTACGTGTGCTGGGCTGCGCTCAGCATGATGCTGCAGGTCGAGCACGGCGGCACGCCCGCGCGCATGCTGGCGCTGGCCGAGAAGATGCTGCTCAAGACGCTGCGCGAGACGGGCTCGGACGACGGCGAGGCGCTACAGCTCACGGTGCTCATCATGCAGCTGCAGGACAACCACCAGGCGGCGCTGGAGGCATTCGACGAGTTCGTCAAGGTGGACGACGGCAAGTCCGACAAGAAGCAGAAGAAGAACAAGGACAAACTGGGGCGCGCTGCAGAGGGGGAGGGCGCCTACGACGAGGACATCGAGCTCGGACCCATGCAGGCCATCGACAGGCTCACGCTCGAAGCGGCGCTCGCGAAGAACGTGACCAACTGGACGCGCTGTGCGGCGGTAAACCGGAAGCTGCTGGAGGAGTACAACGCTGACGACTGGACGTTCTTGAAGGAGTACATCGCCGCGCGCTTCGAAGAGAATGCGGACCGCTCGTCGAAAGATCTGCTGGCGCTTGGCGAAGAGATGACGGCACTTTTGAACGACCTGCAGGCTCGTCCGGGCAACGAACGCATTCGAGGCCCCGCTCTTGCGTTGATCCACGTCAGCAGCGAGATTTTGCGCCGTCTTAAGGCGGGAGACACCGCTGTTGCGCAGGTGGAGACGAACCTGCAAGAGCTCATCGTTGCCTACGCGAACCGATTCTTCTCCAAGGCGTGCTGCTTCACGGATCTGAAGCAGTACTTCAAGCTCTACCTCAAGGAGAGCACGTCGGTGTCGGCGTCCGCGAAGTCCAACCTGATCCAGCACTTCAAAAAGCTGTCGGAGGAGTCCGCTGCCTTGCTCAAGAACAAGCCGGCTGGTGATGAGATTGATGAAAAGGTGCGGAAGGAGGGCCAAGGAAACTTGAGCAGGCGTCTGCTCGCACTCAAGACCCTGCGCTTCCTGGGCTACTACGACGACGCTCAGAAGTTCTCGGTGGAAGTTTTGGCTCACTTGGTTGAGGAGCTCGAGAGTGAGTATGAAGCGACGAGCTGGCTCAACGTTGGTAGCGCCGGCGGCCAGCGCGAGGTGCAGCTTACGGACGACTTGCTCCTGCTGGCGACGCACTTTTTGCTGGATATTTATCAGCGCTCGAGCGGTCATCGTGAATACTTGGAGCGTGCTGCAGGTCTGCTTGAGTACGGTCTGGAGAAGAGTGCCTACAATTTCCAGATGAAGCTGCTCCTGTCTCGTGTGTACGGCTACCTGGGCGCTGCGGAAGCCATGTTGAGCCGCCACGCCGAGCTGGATGTGAAGTACGTGCAGCTGGACTCGCTTTCGTTCTTGGTGCTCGATAAGATTCTCGACCTGTGCCAATACCAAGAGGCGCGCAAGTTGATCAACAGAATTACGGGTCTGCACCACAGTACGGCGAAAGACACGCCCGATCACATTACCCGTGCTTACCGACTCGGTGTCTACTCGAAGGTGGTGGACATGTCTTCGTTCTTGCACAAGCGCATGAAGAAGTCGCACACGCTGGCCATCAGCAAGGGAGAGACGCTGCGCTTTGAGTTGCTCGACGCTCTGTCCCATGGTCCCTCAAAGCTTCATGAACTCGTGACCTCTTCGAGCTTTGAAGCGCAGGTCACCGGATTGGAAAACATGCTCGCGTCCGATGGCGCTGAGTTGTCCCATAACCAGCACCGCGAGGTTATCGTAGACTGGACTTCTAAGCAGCAGATCCCCACCGGCAATTTGTTTGCCCAGGATACCGCGCCGCTCGTGGAGTGTGATCGATCTGCAGACGCTAACTCGTCACTGCTGTGGCTTAAGATCCGAGTGCTCGTCCCGAAGCTGCTGAAGAGTCTCGCAGCGGATGACCACTCAGCTTCGGGTGATCTGGCGAAGGAATACAGTGACCTGGTGACTGCGCTGCACCTCACAGGCTCCGGTTCTGGTGAGCTTCAGCTTCACGAGAGGCTCTGGAAGTGGAGTTCGGAGGCTGTTGCTCTCTCAGCAGATGTGATCAATGCTATTGGCGACCAGGGCGTAGAACAGAAGGACCTTTCTGCAGTGATCACGCAGCTCCAGAACGACTTCACAGCGATTGCGGAGCAGCTTCGCACGGGGCTGGTGTCCTCCTCCGCTAGCTCTTCTGGGGGCCAGGTGGCGCTGTCGCCGTATGCCGTGTCCACGCTGTCGTCGTTGCTGCTGGATTCCGGTCTGTCGTCACTGAGTGCGTTGGCGCTTGCGCAGCGTGCGCTGGCCAAGAAGAACAAGAAGAGCGAGCAGCTCTCGGCGGCGTCACCCGCGCTACGCAACCTTCTCAAGCACATGCAGGAGTCGCTGGTGGCCTTGGAGACGCGCATTGCCGAGCTGCAGTTCACTTCGCACAAGGCCTCGGAGGCTTCATCGCGGGGCCAGGCGCAACAGAAGGCACAGGCGAACGTGGTCAAGTCGTACGCGTCACTTCAAAAGAGACTGGTAGAGCTGCTTGGCGACCGCTGCGCCAGCATTCGCGCCATCCTGCAGAAGTAAAGTGAGTTTTAGAGAGCCTGGTTTGGCAATAAAGAGGTCGCCAAGCCCAAGGCGGCGCAAAAATGCATGGTCGGTTGAAGTGAAGCAACAACGGTTGACTGGCAAAGGGTTGGTAGGTGGGTACGTGGCTAGCTACGCGGAAACTCATTAGGAAGACGCGGCCGCCGTCTCGAGCGCCTTGATGAACTCGTCTACCCGCGCGGCGTTCACCTTGAGCAAGAACTGCGTGAGCTCGCCGCCCTCGACCTGCAGCGCCAACGTGACGCCCGTCTTCTTGCCCTTGGCCTCGTGCGGACGCACCGCCATGCCCTTGTACAGCGCCGAGTTGAGCACGATCTTGCCGATCTCGTTGCGCACCAGGATGCGCGCGCTCTTCGTGTCCTTGCTGACGAGCACCTTGAGCGGGTGCACGCCCTTGTCTGCCCAGCGCTTCTCGTCCTTCTTGAACTCGAAGATCCTGGCCTTCTCGGCCAAAAACGTGCAGTCATCGTCCGGGGAGTCGGCCTGTGTAAATAGAAGGAGACAGCCACGTTAGACTCGGTGGATCAGTGCAACTACTGTGCAAACCTTCACGAACCTTGATAATAACGGTGGCCTCCTCGCGTCCAATGTTCTCCTCGTCTTCATCCGCAGCGGCAGTGGTCGACGCCGAAGTCGAAGTAGCCGATGCTGCAGCTCCGAAGCTAAACCCACCAGTGGCAGGCGGCGTGCTCTTGGTAGCACTCAGGTTGCCAAACGAGAACCCGCCGGTGGCAGGCGTAGAAGAGACCGCGGGGGCCGTCGGCTTGGACAGAGGAGCTCCAAACGAGAACGCAGGCGTAACCTTCTCCTCCGAGTTGATAGACTTGGCAGAGAAGAGCGAGCTGCCGCCACCGAACGAGAAGCCTCCAGCGGCAGGTTTGGCAGGGGACTTGGCGGACTCGTCGTCCTTCTTGGCAGCACCACCGAACGAGAAAGCGGGAGCAGCAGACTTGGCTGGGGACTTGGTGGAGTCGTCGGTCTTCTTCGCAGCGGAACCAAACGAGAAGCCGCTGCTGGCGGGAGCCTTTGCTGGCTCATCAGGCTTCTTGGCCGCACCAAACGAAAACGAGGAGCTCGACGCCGCGGGGGTAGGAGACGCCGCAGTCGCAGTAGACACAGGAGTTGAACCAAAAGAGAATGGGGCAGGAGCCGCAGCCTTGGACTCGTTGATGGCAACCGGCTTCGTGGCCGCGTGCTTGGTGGCAATCTCATCCGCGTATTTCAAGTAATCCTGCAAAAGTTGCACACCCCACTCATCAGTTCCCACTCTCTCCGCAGCTGCACGTACACGCTCCAGCAACAACTGCACACCTGAACGGCAGCCACCCAGCTCGCGCTCGGGTTCCTCTGCGACTGTCCGTTGACAAACGCCAGGAAGCTCTTGTTGAGCGCCTCCATGGCCTGTTGGTACGACCCCGAAGTCGCCGTCGCCGTCGCGGTCGAACCACTGGTCGACACACTGGTCTTCTCAGCCGCGGGCTTGGCAGCGCCAGTGAGACCCGAGAACCCAGCAAAAGGGTTGGAGGATGCCGCGGGCTTGGCCGCCGTGAGTCCCTGCGCATGGGAGGAAAAGACACCACATCCATGAGCATGAATCCCGCCACTAATGCACCAATGCAACCGGATTAAGACGGACCTGGAAGCCTCCGAACGGGTTGCTCTTGGCCTCGTCGTCGCCCCCAGCAGCAGCTGCAGCCACCGCCGCCTTGGGCTTGGCGGCCGAGCGGCCCCCGACGCGCGCCTTGACGATTTTGCGCTTGCGGATCGAGTCCTCGCTGGCGCGCTGGAAGCCGATCTCGAACGAGTCGGCGCTCACGTCGTCGTCCGCGGCCTCGTACTCCTCGCGGCGCATCTGGCCGTTCTCGTTGCGTCGCTTGGCCATGGCCACGTCGGTCGGTCGGGTCTTGCCAATACTGAGCTCTTGGGAGGTCCCGATCGTTTTTGGCCAGTTGATGATGTCCTAACGAATTACGCGGTGTTTTAGGTGCGTGTTATTATTTTGTGGATTAAATGCCAAGTTGAAGTGGCCCGACAGTAGCATGGCAAAAGGGATAGAAGCAACCAAGCACATGAGGAGCAGGATCAGAGTAGCGTGCAGCAAAACTCGTGTTCATCCGGGCGCTCGCGTGGCGGCGTCACTCGCTCCCAACGTCGAGTCTCGTGTCCTTCTCGATACTTGTCCATCACCTTGATTTCCTTCCACAGGGACGAGCAACGAGGCACGGGGCAGAAGCGAACGACGCTATCGTGCTCGATACTCGAGACGACGCCGACAAAGTGATGGGGGCGCAGGCTCAAGACGGGACCGCCGGTGAACAGGATGTCCTTTGCGTAGTCCAGACTGTTTGGTTGGGCTAGCTCCAGTGACGCGAGCTCGCTGTTTGGGTCCGCCAAAGCGCCGACGTGGCCACGGACGACCAAAGGGGTAGGAAAGAAAATGTTGCCCACGCAGTAGGGCATGAAAACCATCGGATCCATCGCCTCAAACTCCTTGTCAGGCTCCAGAAACGGGATTGGGAACGGGGCTTCAGCTATCAAAAGCGACAGCGAAGTGCCGCAGGTCTCAAAATCCTGAACATGTTCGCAGTGGAGGCCGATGCCATCGAAACGCGTAGCCTTACACGTGTTCCGGTCGGCGGTAGGGTAGATACTGCTGGTGGTCAGGAGGAAGCCGTCCTCGGCAATAAAGAAGCTCGTCTGGTAGAAGCTCTTGTCAACGCCCGATGGGATCTTCGCGATCGCCGAGTATGAGGCTGTACGGGACTTGGGGGCGTGGCGGGCGCCTCAATCTCTTCAAGCTCTCGTCCTCGATCCTAATTTCCTCTTCGAGGCGAGCATTCTCGGCCTCCAAGCTCGCCGACAGCTCTGCATAGTATTCGGCTCGCTGCCTCGAGCTCCGACGAGCAGCACGTTCCGCAGGTGTAGTGTCTTCTTCCATCGATATTGCGCTGTGCGAATAGTCCCATTTTGCCAGTGATAGTCCGTCATTTCGAAAACGGTATTGATGGACATCGATCGAAGCCGCAGACGCGACCCAGAGTAACAGAAACTGACTGGGACGCGCCCGACGTTCTGCAAACAACATATATGCTAAAACTCTCCATCTATCTGGAACTCGATCGTATTTGCGAGATGATAGCACGTGACGATGCAATTTGGACAACGCAAGAATCGCAATGGACACAAACGCAGCATCCGCGGAGCGTGCAGCCCATGCACGACCCAACCAGCAGGGCCGGAGCTGGACACAATGGAGTGAACGCTATGCCGAGCTGACGAAGAATTGGGAAGCCGAGACAGCGCGCCTCGAAAAGGAAATTAAGCTAGCGGACAACCCACGCCACCAAGTCCCGTACAGCCTCTGCGAGGTCAGCAAGGCATACTCCGCGATCGCGAAGATCCCATCGGGCGTTGACAAGAGCGTCTACCCGACGGGCTTCTTCATTGCCGAGGACGGCTTCCTCCTGACCACCAGCAGTATCTACCCTACCGCCGACCGGAGCACGTGTGTTGCGACGTGTTTCGACATCATCGGCTTCTACTGTCAACACATGCAGGACTTTGAGGTCTGCGGGGGCAGCTCCGTTCCCAATCCCGTTCGTGGAGCCTGACAACGAGTTTGAGACGATGGATCCGATGGTTTTCATGCCCTTCGGGGACGACATTGCGTACCCATCCCCTGTGGTTGTGCGCGACCATATCGGCGCTTTAGCGGACCCATACAGCGAGCTCGCGTCACTGGAGCTAGCCCAACCAAACAGTCTGGACTACGCAAAGGACATCCTGTTCACCGGCGGTCCCGTCTTGAGCCTGCGCCCCCATCACTTTGTCGGCGTCGTCTCGAGTATCGAGCACGATAGCGTCGTTCGCTTCTGCCCCGTGACTCGTTGCTCGTCCGTGTGGAAGGAAATCAAGGTGACGATGGACAAGTAACGAGAAAACCACGAGACTCGACGTTGGGAGCGAGTGACGCCGCCACGCGAGCGCCCGGATGAACACGAGTTTTGCTGCACGCTACTCTGATCCTGCTCCTCATGTGCTTGGTTGCTTCTATCCCTTTTGCCATGCTTGCACTGTCGGGCCACTTCAGCTTGACATTTAATCCACAAAATAATAACACGCACCTAAAACACCGCGTAATTCGCTAGAACATTATCAACCGGCCAAAACGATCGGACCCAAGAGCTCATTGTGTACGAGAGCAGCAGAGGTCGTGTGCTCTTGAACGTTATCTTGTGCTTCCGCTGTAGCGCGATGCATTTGCCGAACCATCTCACTTCAACGTCTTGCTTGTCAAACTTTCGGTACCTGTACCATATAGATGGTACTTCGTACCACTTTTGGGCACTCGCACGCCACCAGCCACTTGAATTGCGTCCAGCCATCCCGAGCCAGCAATAGGGTCACAATTGCTCACGAAGTCATGGGCGCCAAGCAGCAGCAGCCGGAGGACGGCGAGCCGTCGTCGCCGCAGAAGGGCGACTTCCTCAAGCTGTTCTGGACGCTGGCCGAGAGCGAGCGCGGCGTGCGCACGCAGGCTGCGGCGCAGCTGCTCGCCCACCTCAAGAGCAGCGCCAAGCAGGAGGCCGAGGTGCAGTACACGCTCAAGCGCCTGGTGCGCGGCCTGGCCTCGTCGCGCGACGCCGCGCGCCAGGGCTTCAGCACGGCGCTGAGCGGCCTGCTGAGCGCCTTCCCCAAGCAGCTCGCGCTGCAGAGCACGCACGAGCTGCTGCGCGACGCCATGGAGGTGCACTCGTCCATGAAGCCCATGGAGCAGCGCGAGCACATGTTCGGCCGCCTCTTCGGCCTGCTGGCGCTGCACCGCTGCGGCCGCCTGAGTGCCGACCTGCCGCTGCTGGTGGCCGTGGTCAAGGAGCTGCTGGACATGGCCGCGTTCAAGCGCTGGTTTCGCGAGGCGTGCTACGAGGCGGCGCTCACGCTGCTGGCGGACGTGCCGGCCGAGCAGTTCCTGGCGGAGCTGGCCGGCCCGATCCACAACTGTCTGCAGATTCAGCCGTCCAAGGGCAGCGACGAGGAAGGCGTCGAGGCCTGGAATGCCGACCAGGTGCTGCTCGCTGTGGGCGTACAGCGCTACCTGCACGTGTCGGGCATCGACCAGGACGAGGAACAGATGAAGCAGCTGCCGGAAAACTTCGCGGCCGTCAACGCGCTGCAGCGCCACAATGTGCACGTGCTCGCGCGTCCGCTGCGCGGGTCGTCGGGCTGCTACCCGCGCGTGCACTCGGCCTGGTTCGGCGTGTTCGGCCACGTGCTGAATCCGACGGAGGACGCGTCGGCCACGCTCGATGGTGAGCTGTTCCAGGAGGCGTGGACGGTGCTGGTAGAGAACTCGCTGGTCGATGGCAGCAACGCGGACGACAGTGCGCCTACCAGCCACGAGCGCCAGGGCCTGGCGTTGAAGTTGTTCGAGCTGGTGGCGCCCAAGCTGCCGGCGCCGGTGCTGCGTGCCATCCTGACCCCGCGCTTCGTCAAGTGGCTGTACAACAACGCCGTTGCCAAGAGGAACTACCTGCACGAGGCTGCGCGTCACTGCCTCAAGTCTTTCGCTGCGTGCGCGCCCGCGGAGTTTTTCCACTTCGTCCGCAAGCAGTTCGCGACTCCCCTTTCGATCCTGGTGACGTCGACCTCGGCTGATAGCGACGACGAAGCGGAGGAGGAGGAGAAGCCCAAGAAGAAGCAGAAACTGAGCGCTGGAGGCTTCGACAAGCTCGTGGAGCTCGAGGAGAAGAAGGAGCGCGAGGAGGCGCTCAAGCGACGCACGGACCGCGCTCGTGTGTGGGCGCTGGAGACGATGGTGGCTGCTCTTACGGAGATGCTGAGCGCCAAGGCCGAGGCGGATGATGAGACCAAGAAGCTGCAGGATGACGCAGTCCGATTCCTGGTGTTCCACTCGTTCTTCACGCCGTCGGGCGAGGCTGAGTCTACGCCTTCCAAGAAGAGCAAGAAGAACAAAAAGGCGAAGAAGAGCGCGAAGTCGGCGGACGACGAGGTGGTGAAAGAGGCGGCTGAGGCCACGCCTGCTCTCTCGGAGAACGTGGCCAACTACGCCAAGACGCGTCTGTTTTCGCTCTTGAGCCTGGGTCTTGCGGGTGCCGACGGTGCGCGTGCCAGCGCCAGCGTGCTGAGCCGCATTTTCGCGATCGCCCAGGACATGCAGACCAACAGCGGTGCTGTTGTGCTGCGGGAGCCTCTTAGCGAGGAGGTGGCAGCGCAGTTTACTGCTCTTGTGGGCCACATCGACACTCTGCGCAGCAAGGAAGCCGATGAGGTCGAGAAGGAGAAGAAGACAAAGAAGTCGGCGGCGCACCGTCCGCTGAGCGAGGCGTTCCTGTTGTTGTTCATGAGCGCCGGGCTTCAGCTTCTGGATAGCGAGCAGCGTGAGGACGCTGCTGTGGTGGCGGCTGATCTGGATAAGTGCTATGCCCAGCTCGTTGCTCGTGAGCAGAAGACTACCCCCACCAAGAAGAAGAGCAAGAAGAACAAGAAGAAGGAGGCTGAGCCCGAGGAGACGGAGGAGGAGTCGGTGGTTGTGCTGACGGACTTGTTGCTGAGTCTGCTGTCCCAGGACTCGAGTGCGCTGCGTGAGATCGTGTCGCAGGTCTTCCGTTCGCTGCTGCCGCTGCTGAACGGTGCGTGTTTGACCACGATGGTAAACGTGCTGCAGCCGTCGACCGAGGGTGAAGGCGCTGCTGCTGACGACGAGGACGACGAGTTCGCCCCCATTACGCGTCGCGAGGATGAAGAAGAGAACGACGAGGAGGACGAAGAGGAAGAGGACGAAGTGATGCTGTCCTCGGCCGATGCTGTGTCTGATGCGCTTCGCAACGACGAGAAGCTGTCGCAGCTGCACCAGGAGGACCTGGCCCTTGCTGCTATCGTCGGACAGGTGAAGCACCGCTCGCAGCGCAAGAAGGACCTGAAGCGTGCTCGCTTGCAGACGATGCACTTCCAGCTGCGTGTGCTGGACCTGCTTCAAGTGTTTGTTTCGCAGCGTCCTGAGCAGACCGAGGCGGCTACTGCCAAGCACAACGCTTTGGTGCTATCGTTGGTTGCCCCGCTGTTCCGCGTGCTTACTCATGTGCAGAACGCCGACACCGAGAAGCTGGTGCTCCGGGATCGCCTGCAGGCCGTGCTGCTTCACAAGGTGCTTCGTGCCAAGGACAAGATCCCGTCCGGCCAGGCTGCTCCGACCGAGGCGTTGGACGCTCTCCGCCAGATTGTGGAGCTGATCCGCACGGTCGCTATGGAGAAGGACCACACCGGCAAGGTTGCGTCGGCTGCTGTCGTGTACCTCGTCCGCGTCATTTGCACCAGCGAGGCGTCTAGCAAGGAGGAAGTGCAGAAGATCATCCGTGCGTCCGTGCTGGACGCCTTCACCAAGAAACACGCGCGCTTCCCGCGTGCGTCCTTCGAGGAGCTTCTGACCAAGTCTCCGGCTGTCGGCGCCCGTGTGCTGCTCGAGCCTCTTGCTGCTGTTGCTGCGGCGTCCGAGAAGAAGGAGGACGCTGACGAGTCGGAGGTGCGCGCCGCTGTCGACGAGTTCTCCAAGTGCGAGGTGTTCCGTCTCCTGACGGTGCTGCTCCGCAGCAGCAGCAAGCTGCAGCAGAGTGGCGTGCTGTCGAAGGCGCAGCGCAGTGCGTTCAAGCGTGTGCAGACGTCTCTGAAGACGGCGCTCGTGCGGCAACTGGCCCCGGAGAGCGTGCAGCAGCTCAAGGCGAAGCGCATGAAGGTCGTGATGATGTTCGCGCTGCAGCTGGTCAAGTTCTGGCAGGCGTCCGAGGACAAGAAGGCGACGGAGGCCGACGTCCGTGCTGTGGTCGCTGCCGTGCAGGCCGTGGACTCTAAGTCGCCCGTGGTCAAGGATATGGTGAAGCAGGTGTCGGACGCTGCCGGCATCCCGTTCGTGGCTGCCAACGGCGCCAAGGCGGACAAGAAGAAGACCCCCACGGAGGACGAGGACGAGCTCATGCCCGAGCAGGACGAGGATGAGGAGGACGCACAGAAGGCCAAGGCCAAGAAGACCAAGGGCAAGGCCAAGACCAAGAGCCCCAAGGACAAGCAGAAGAAGAAGCGCAAGCGCGCCGCCGCCGAGGAGTAAGAAAGTCGTCAGCCGCTTACAAACTGGGAGGAACGTGTCGCCCTGCGTCTCGCGTCGTCAGTCGGCAGTCGATCGCTTCCCCCATAAGGCCCCACCTATTATAGATACTAGAGCTTTTGTGTGACTTCCTTCCCTCCTTCCTTCCGCCTTGCCACGTCATTCCATCCATACACAGTAGACCATCATCATCACGCACGAGCTCACACTGCAGACTTGCATCCCTCCTCCTTGTTGCACCTCGGGCACGTTACCGCCGCGTCACGCCAACGAGCGAGAAGCGACACAAGCTCCTATACTAAAAAAACTGTCTGCTACGCCGCGAGGGTTCCCATTGCGTCCGTCATACGTCTGTGACTGCTGCTTGCTTGTTGGAGGGTGAAAACTTGGGGGCCGCGCGGGGCCTCGCCGGGTATCTTTTAAGTGCTGTCCTGTCGTCTATGGAGTCGCTCGTCTAGCCGCGGAACTTGCCCCACACGTGCAGCAGCACCACGAAGCCCACGAACATGAGGCAGCTCACGAGCACCGTCGTGGGGCCGATCTTGAGGCCGGGCGAGTCGTCCGTGTAGAAGCGCAGGATGCCGGCCGTGCTGCCGCCCATGCCGCGGCCCGTGTTCTGGCCCGAGCGCGCCGCCGCCACCGGGCGCCGGTTGCGCAGGCCGCTGGCCGCCGCGCCCTCGGCTGACGCCGTCGGGGCGGGCTTCTTTCCTGCCAAAGCTCCGTTCGCTCCCACAGCCTGAAGGAGGAGAGAGAAGAGAAGGCACAGCCAGTAGGAGTTAGCTACGCACGCGCGCACGGAGGACGGAGGGGGGATACGCCGCCGCTGCTGCACGCACCATTGTTGTGTATATAGCTTGGTAGTCCTTCGCCTTGCTGGTACCGGAGACTCTCTCTGTTTGATTGTGTGCGCGGTCGATCCAAAGCCGGGGGAGGGAAATTGGAGCTGCTGCCACGTATCAAATCGATGCCCACTTAAGTACGATGCGACGATGTCTCGACGAAAAATGTGTGACGTGTGAGAACGGCAACTTGGGCCCAGCACGTGCGTGTCAGAGATCAGAGGTCCCAGTACGTCGCGTTCGGGTCGCTGTTGGCCTGCAGGATCGTCGGCCGTACGACTGGAGGGAGCTGCTGCTGGTGTTGTTGCCCTTGTCCTTGCTGCTGTTTCTTCTTGCGGAGGTTCAGGTACTTCTTCTTCTGGTACCGCTCGTACATCGTGCGCGGCGCCAGCGTGCTCAGCAGCCCGACGCAGGCCAAGGACAGCGAGATGGCTGCGAACACGAGGAACTTCGAGCGGCGCGGGCTGTCCGCCTCTGGTAACTCGGGGGCTGTTGTGGTCGCTACCGTGTCCACGGAGCCGCTTGTGCTGCTCGCGCCGTTGATGCCGTACTTGACGTTGAAGGCCTCGTCCGACAACACGCAGAGCAGCGTGTCCTGCACGTAGCGATAGAGTGCACCGCTGTCGGAGCACGAGAGGCTTGTGGTGACCGACACGTTGAACGTCTCTAAGCTCGCGAACAGCGTTGCGTCCGTCTGTCGAATCTCGAACTCCTGCAGCTTGGTGGTGGACGTGACGACGAGCACCTTCAACGAGCTCGGGAAGGCGATTCCGCCGATGTACGTGATGGGGTTTTCTGATAGCGTGAGCGTTGTGAGCGAGTCTGGGAGGGAAATACTGCGTAGACTTCCCAACTTTCCGTTCGATGCAGTGCTGTGTAAGCGGGCTTAGTCTGTGTAGCACGTTGAGCTCTTAAGATATGGCAACACTTACAACTTTGTGAGGCTGCTTGGAAAGGTAAAGTCGTGCAGCGAAGTGAACAAGTTCTTGGATAGATCTCTGCAAGCAACGGAGGAGTCAGAGCTCCGAATTGATGTCGAAACAGCCCTCCTTGAGCTTACAGCGTCTGTACTGTCATAGGGATGGACACATTCGCGAGCATCGCGATGCTGTTGCTTTTGAGATCCCTAAGAAAACAACTTTGCTGGTCAGCTAATGGACAAGAGGGCTAGCAACGCAGTAGGTCGACATGTACAGCTTCACGACGGGCGGCAGGCTCTCCACGTAGACGATCTTCTTGCTGCTCAAGTCCAGCTCTTTCACTCCGTTGCTGTCCGTCAACACCCTCACAACTGTCGTGCTGCAGTCCGCGTACTCGATCACCGCGGCAGCGTACGCAGTTGATGCCGCATAGTTGGACGCGGTCGCAGCAGGGATCGAGCACGTCGTGGTGGCAGCTCTCGCAAACTCGTTCACGGTAATCCCAGCCAAGCAGCACAGCAACCACGGCACCACTGCAGTCATCTCGTGGCAGGTCAACAAGTGGCCAACGTGACAGAATTAGCTGCCCCAAGTTGAAGTGAAGTGTAGCCATCTGCTCAATACAATGTGTACACCACACCAATCCAACAGATCTGACAGGGTTTACGCACATCAACCAACGGCCAAGCGACCATGGCGACGAGCTTGGCGACGGCGCTGACCCAGGCGCTGGACGCGTCGTTCCCGCGCGTGGCCTTCATCATGGCGTACGGCTCGGGCGTGTTTCAGCAGAAGAACCACGACGCCAGCGCCAGCATGGTGGACCTGGTCTTCGCCGTGGACGACCCGCGGGCCTGGCACGCGCAGAACCTCGAGCGCAACCCACAGCACTACTCGGTGCTCAAGTATCTGGGCGCCGCCAACGTCGCCGCCTTCCAGGAGAATTTCGGCGCCGGCGTCTACTACAACACGCTGGTACGGTGCAAAACTAGGCGTTATTATGGTGGTATGTGGCTGACTGACTAATATGCTTGCTGGCTGGCAGGTTCCTCTCACGGGCAAGCTGCTCGGCACGCGACTCATCAAGTACGGCGTCGTGAGCACCCAGACGCTGTGTGAGGACCTGCAGACGTGGAAGACGCTGTATCTGAGCGGCCGAATGCACAAGCCAGTACGTTCGTTGAACAAGCTCTGTGGTGACTGGTGAAGGCGGTGAAAACTCTGGGTTTTGTGGTGGTTTATAGGTCAGTATTATCGGCACCAGCGATGCAATCCAAGTGGCAAGCTCGACCAATCTGTCGCACGCACTGAACTACGCGCTGCTCTGCTTGCCGGAAAAGTTCTCGGAGCACGACCTGTACATGGTGAGTGGGCAGACGTGCTGGGAGGGAATTAGATACGTGGGAAACTAACGTTGGCGGTGTACGTTGAATTGGGAGTAGAAGATCGCAGGCATCTCGTACCTGGGCGACTTCCGGATGACGTTCGGCGAGAACCCGAAGAAGGTGCGCAACATCGTGGATGGCAACCTCAAGTCGTTCCGAGAGCTCTATCAACACAAGATTCAGGTAAGAGTCAACTCGCTTTCGTGCCCGTTTCGACTTCAGGTTATGACTGACAACTTGCTGCTGTGTTGCAGAACTCGCCGTTTATGTCTCGCTCGCTCTCCGACAGCGACATGCTCGTCGCGAACAGCAGCGATCTCAAGGTGCGGCAAACCATCGTAGAGTCTTTGCCGTCCAACGTGCTGAAGCGCCTAGTGACCAAGTCCCACACGACTGGCGCGTTCGACCACCAAGCTGTCACCAAGAAGCAGTTGCAGCGCGTCATCGCGACGATCGTGTTCCGGTCTAGTCGCTCACAGAGCATCAAGGGCATCGCCACTGCAGGCGGCGTCAAGTCCATCGTCTACGTCGCTCAGAAGCTGAAGCGCACGTACTTCAAGTGACATTCTGCACCTTTTGAAGATCATCCGGCTAATCCAGTCGAAGTGGAAGGAAAAAGCGTATACAAAAGTTATCTATCTATTGTGCACTTAGACGGTCAGCACCTTCTTCAGGTACTCGACGCGGGTCTTGGTCTCCTGGGCAAACTCCTTGTCCTCACCCTCTAGTGCGTCAATCTGCTTGATGCGCTGGTCGCACTTGGCGAGCAGGTCGAGCTCGGGCTTCTTGCACGCCGCCATGAAGTCGGGGCCGATCATGGCGAACTCGGCCAGTCCCTCCACGGAGCACTCGCACAGGTCCACGTCTTCGTGGGTGATGAAGGCCGCGGCCGACTGGATGAAGAAGTTCTTCTGCAGCACAAGGTCGGCCGTCGAGCGGCTGTTGCGGATGAGGTAGCGCAGGAAGAAGAGCGACTTGCGCTGCAGTCGGATGTCCGTGGCCTCCTCCAGGTTCTGGCGCATGAGCTCCAGGCCCTTGCAGCTCTCGCCCAGGAACCGCGTCTCCGCCGCGGCGTGGTGGCGCACCAGGCACGAGATGCCCAGCAGCGCCTTGACGCGGCACGTGACGTCCTGGTCCTCGCGCGCGAGCGTGCACAGCACCTCGAGCAGGCCGCTCTCGACGGCCGCGTCCTGGCAGAAGGGGTTGTTCTGCACCACGACGGAGCAGACCTCGGCGGCCAGCGCGCGCGACGACGGCTGCGCGTACTTGCGGATGACGTTGGTCATGACGCGCAGGCCGCCCATCTTGACGAAGTTCTGCGCATTGTCGATCTGGTCGATGCGCGTGAGCAGCTCGTCCAGCAGCGAGTCCTTGTACTGCGCCAGCTCCTCGGGCGACGGCTGCTCGCCCTCGTCGGCGATGGTGCCGTCCTCGGCGGCGAACACGAGGCGCGGGTCCTCGCCCTCGAGGATGCGCAGGATGTCCTTGACGCGCTCGTTCTCGTCGATCACGCCCTCGTTCATGACCATCTCCAGGAAGCGCCGCTTGTCCTCCGAGATGGGCGTCGCCTCGGTGGGCGTCGTGCCGTCCGTGTGCTTCATGGTCCACTTCATGAGCGCCTGCCACTTGGCCTGGTCCGCCATGGGTGTCTGGGAGTTGGCCGATTGCTTTGTGACGTTGATTGGCTTCCGACCTGCCGTCTCTGATTGGAAGCTTCTAGATTCTAGACAATTCTAGACTCTAGGTTTGACTCGGCCAATCACAAAAAGACTTGGAGTTTGCATGGGACCAACTTGAAGTGAAAGGCAACATTTTGTGAGCCAAGCAGCGTCATGACCAAGCTGCCGGCACTTGTGAGGCAATCTGATGCTCCTACCTCGGAACAAGGGCTCACTACCGACAAGATGTTCAAGCTGCTGCTCAAGTTGGATGGCGGTGTGAGAAGCCGCTAACCAACGCGGCCTTGGATACTTGGAGCGCTTACTTGGTTCAAGGTGGCATTAAGAATATTGAAAGAGCCGCGCGAGTGAGGAATGTGCCCAAAACTGAGGAGACTGCGAAGAAGTTGCACGCTGCACAGTTTAAGCAGTGGGTCCAGGATGGTGTCGAACCAGCGCAGATCTGGAAAATTCTCAAGATGGAGTAGACAGCATGGGTGAGCAAGCCGAGCGCAGGCTTTTGGCTGGGATGCAAAACAAGCTCAGTAACAGAGGTTCCGTTACCATCCGGCGTAGTAGTACTGTTCAATACAATCGTTCACTTGACTGTCGCATTCGCTTCAGAACAATGCTACCGATTCTGTACTGGAAGTAGCTTTCTATGGTGAGGAAGTTGTGAATGTCACCATACGCAGCAAATATTTGACGTGTCACCAAGGATTCATGTTCTCTTATAAGCGCTAGAATGTACAGCAAGCGGGCCTATTGCCTACTTGCTTACTTACTTCTCGTCGAAGAACTTCTTGAGCGACTGGCCGAACTTGCCGTCGAAGAAGATCTCCGAGGGCGGGAAGCGCACCGACGGCTTGGCAGGCTTGGCCTCAGGGTTCACGTGGCCCAGAGCCACCACCACAGGGATGCTGTAGCGGTCCGGGATGCCCAACGCCTGCTTCACCTTGGCCTGGTCCAGGCCTTCCATGGGGCACGTGGCGAGGCCGTGCACCTGAGCGGCGTACAGGAAGATGGCAGCAGCGAACGTCGTCTGCTTGTAGGCCCACGCCTCCGTAGACACGTTGGGGTCGTGTTCTCCTGAGAAGAGCTCGACGAGGACCGGGACCTTGCTCACGAAAGGCTCGGGGGCGCCGTTGTCGCGGTTGAGCTGCTGCATGCGTGCAACGTTCTTGCTGGGCTCTGGAGGCACGTACACACAGCTGTAACAGGTGGGCCCGGCAGGTGGACCCATCTGAGCATGACAGCGACGGAGGACGTGGTGACGGACGGCGACGCGACGCAGATGTCGGAGGCGGGCGACTGCGCGAAAATCGGCGGCACGAAGGAGACCAAGTACCTCGAAGCGGCGGCGCTGGACGCGCCGAGAGTGGGCGAAATGCCGCTCAGTGGCATGAGGCGAGACGGGTGAACGCCTGACCGCCCAGGTGTATAGCTTGGCGCGTCCCGGTGTAGACTCCCGAATGGGGTGCACCCAGAACAAACCCTAGCCGGAGATAGTACACCTAGATGTACACTCCAACCGGGGTGGCATGTGTCCTTGTGAACAATCCCTGTGGGTTCGTTTGTCTTCGTAACCAGGGGTCTTCAACCGTGGATGAGTTGTCTTGATACTTGTAGGTCGCTAGGTAGCAGGGCAGAACGTAACCTTCCTGGACGTCGCCTCTGACAGCCCTCAGATAACCAAACAATACAAACAGATACAGAGTTATATACAAACACGTAGCCCTTCCTTATTCTTTTGGACCGTGAAAGGGTCGGTCACTACTCCAGTCAACTCCAGCCGGACTCCGGGATACTGGTCAATCCCGGTCGGTTTTGGCTCACGCGCACCACCCTCAAGTACTGAGGGAAACTAACACAATCGAATACCTCGTATCACACAATAGCTCTTAAATAAATACTTCCCACCCGGGGCTACTCCAACCGGGGTGACAAGGTAATCGGTAATATGAAATGCGGGGCCTTCCTGGTCTGGACGAGCTCAACGGCAACTAGGAAATGAAATGCGATGGATCAACCTCGGGTTGTCGCCCGGTACTCACCCCAACTTGGACTGGACTTGGTTGCGGGAGCTCAACCCAGATGTCACAGTTGCTGGGCCCTCACGCGTAGACTTAGTCAGTCCTCCGGGAATGCACGTCCGGTAGGCTGCTCCAACTCACTTGCGCGATCCTTGGCAAAACGAACTCTGTTTATCTGTTATCTGTGGTCTCTCTCTGTCTGTCTGGCTATCTTCTGTCGATCTTTACATGCACTCCATCTTGACTTGTCTTCACTATGGTCTTGTCGTCGTAATCGTCCGCGGCCCCTCGTAACATATTTCCAGCAAGTATAATCATCACTGGGTACGCAAGCGAAATTCAATTTTCCACGGAATCCGAACAGATCTTGGCTAGTCGGCTTGGTCGGTCGGAAACATCTTGGACTTTGTATACTGGATCTTCACATCTGGGATGGGATCTTGGTATCTTGGTATCTCCATTCGGGATTCATGATTATCTCCAAACGGGATCACACTCCACTTGGGCTTCACATCCGGGGTATCTTGGACAGCTTTATAGTTTCTGGGTCGTCACTCAATCCGGTCGGGCTCCTCTTGCGTTGTACAGTGCACCAAGAGCAGGCGGCCTCCAGTCGGAGGCACTTCTACGCTCCCTTGGGCTTTGCCTCTCGTTCAGTACTTGGTTCCAGCCGGGGTCCGCTCTTGGGGACATCTCCATCCGGGGTCACCAAACCTTGTACACTGCCAACGCGAGTCCGGCCGGGATCCGCTCTTCCCATACGCACGTGTCGCTGCCTCCCTCTTCCATAGTGAGCCTCTGAGCCAACCAATCACACGTGCGGCTCGGGGAATCCTCGAAAATCTCCAATTCCATCGTGTCAACCGCCCCTCTTGTTACGATCCATTGTAGAGTCCATTCGGCGAAACGATCGATCATGACAAGATCTCACGATCCGAGCAAGCCCAGATGCGTGGGCGCCCCAGACGGGGATGTCTTCAGTCAACTCCCAACTCTGGTGTCTCTTCTTTGCGCCCTGTCCCAACCGGGTCGCTTTTCGTCAATTTCTCTTTCCAGTCTGCGGCAACGAAATCTCCACTCACAACGAAATCTGCGCGCCACTACTCACACCATGGACGCCCCCGCATCGAGCGCCGACGCACCGCTTATCCCAGCGCAGCTCCCGCCCTCTGTGCCTCCAGTGGGGGTGCGGAGGCGGGCGCGGGCAACGGCGGCGGCAGTCTGGCTGCTAGTGGCGAGGCCCATATGTCGGCTAGGGCCGGCAGCCCTGCGCGCAAGGTCGGCGAGGCCGAAGAGACCATGGAAGTCGACGAGCAGGCGGGCACCGGCGAGGACGACGACGTCGGCGAGGAGGAAGAGGAGGAAGAGGAGAGTGCAGCGTCTTCTGCGAGGAACTCGCCCCTGCGCGCCAGTGACCAGCCCGTCCGGGAGGACGAGGCCATGGAGGAAGTCCCCATCCGGGATCCTCCGGCCGGGCACACTCCGACTGTCACTGCGGCTATCTCCAGTCTGCTCTCGCTGGATGAGGCGGTCGAGCACACGCGGTCTGGCACTCTGCCGTCGTCCCATCCGGGACCTCGCGGCATTGAGAACAGCTTGCCTGCGCGTCACATCCTCCCGCCCAAGCGTCCTGGTGATGGCAACTCCTACCTGGTCGGCGTTCCTGCACACCCGCTGGCGTATCAGTCCGAGCGCTACGTCCAGGAGGGGTATGGCGGCACGGAGGCGCTAGCAATCTTCGACGGCTTCTCCGCTCAGGATCTCCACGACTTGGGCAACCTGGTTGGCAGTCAGACGGAGCTGCGCAATAATTTGCTGCGCCCGCATGCCAACCGGGAATCTCCCAGGCTGCCGCAGCTCGAGGCCACCTTGAACTCATTGCTGTGGCGCCGGGAGTCCGCCTCTGTGCTGGCCCAGTTCCCAGCCGGGCGCTTCGCGGAGAGGCTCTTCTTCACGACGTCCCTGCTCCACCGTATCCTCGACCGGGCACGGCGTGGCGACATCCCCATTCAAGGGCCGGTTGAGGTATCTCCCGGCGGGGGCGCCACCCTGCAACAGCGTTACGACAGGCTTGTCGACGAGCACCGTTTCCTGCAGATGTATCACCAGCGGGAGGTGGCTGCACTCCGGGCGGAGAAGGTGGAACTCCAAGCCCAGCTGGAGAATGACTTCGCCTTGGTGGCGCAAAGCCATCTGGATGAGGAAAACTCGCTGCGCAACAAGGTCACCGAGGCCGAGGCCAAGCTCGAGCGGGCAATCTTGGCCGTCCAGCGTCTGCGGGTCATCAGCCAGGAGGATGCGTTTTACACCGACCGGCTGATGCGGTTCCTCAACCAAGGTGGGGCTGCCACTCGCGGTCGATGGCCCAGGCTGGTGCGTCCGCTGCGGCACTTCCAACGGGGGTCCATACCTCCTGCACACTGGGTCACCAACATCACCGTCGAGGCTGCCGACCGTCCGTTCAGGATGATCCCGCCCTATCCGGGCCCGGTCGACCCGGACATGGAGGACGATGATGACAACTACCAGGCAGGCGATGGACACGGCGGCCAGGATGGTGACCGTGAAGAGAAGTCGGAGGACAACCCACCCACCCCTCTCCGTTCGGACTTCCCGCCTGCGGATGCGTCTCCGTCCAAACCCAAGCGGCGTACATCCAGGGGGTCTCGTTCGGGGTCATGTCCACGTGGTATGACCGAGCTTTCCAGCAAGGGTGGGCCGGTGTACGTCCAAATGCGACCCACGGTCCACCCGGGATCTGATGTGCTCCCTCTGTCACCCCAGACGGACTTCAAGCGCCTGATTTCCGGCTGTGCTGCATCGCTGCCAGAGTTTGTCCCTTGGTCGGATGTCCGGCTGGATGTCCAGTTCGTCATGTGGATGGACCATGGGTACGAAGAGGCCTTGGACATCCTCCGTCAGGATTGTCCGGCCCACCAGTATTTCCCAAAGCCTTGGCTGCTGGAGATGCTGGTCAAGATGATGTACCATGGCACCCTGGACGACACCCTCTGGACGCGTCATGTTCCCGAGACCTTCTACAAGATGGCTGCGGTCATGCTCCAGGGTCGTCTCCGGTCGGGTATGTATCTGGAGGAGTTTCCGCCACTGCGCAACTTGGCCGAGGAGGCTGCTGCCGAGATGGAGATCGTCGAAGTTGACGGCTCCAGTGAAAGTGACGACTCTCGTGACCCCGACTACGAGGACAAGGCCAAGACGTCTCCATCTGGGAAGAGCGCGGATGGGCCATCCAAGGCGGAGTCCATTGACGAGAGCAGCTCGTCGGATAGCGAAACCGATGAGGAGAAGCCGTCCAAGACCAAGCGCAACCCCAAGCGGAACCGCGTTCAGTCATCTTCGGACAGCTCCACTGAGGACGAGCTCCAGTCGTCTTCCTCATCCCAGCGTCGGTCTCCCCGGTTGTCGTCCCAGAAGGAACCCCGGTCTCCCCGGTCGAAGTTCGTGCTGCAGGATAAACCTGATCGACCTTCGTCCAAGAAGAACCCAAAAAAACGCAGCCGGACGTCGAAACCCAAACGGGAGGGTGGCAAGTCGCCCCTGGCACAGAAGTCTTACGAGGACCTGAACAGCAGGGAATTGGCGATCATCGAGACCCCATCTGGGGACATTGTCTCGTGGCGTCGTCGTGGTGTCGGCACTCGTTTCTCTCCGAAGAAAGGTGGCATCGAGGGCCAGACGCCTGGGTTTCCTAACTACGCACCTCAGCAGCCTGAGACCAAGTACCTGGTCAGGCGTTGGCCTGCAGTCGAAGATGAGTATGCGGCCCTGGTCGAGAAGGAACCCTGGCTGGAGATGTTTAACAACCGGGTCAAGGTCCTGTACTTCCACCGCCGGGACCAACTATCCCCAGCTGTGATCCGCATCCTGGACCAACATGTGGAGTATATGAAGGATCACCAGCCTTCTGGCACATCCTGCACTGGTTCATGATGAAGACCAAGCCTGAAGACGACGAGAAGTGCGACGACCTCACGATCTACGATCGGGCTCAAGATCTCCACCGCAAGCGCCAGGCACTCCACCACGGTGTTGCGCGCACCTTCGAGGCCCGCATCAAGCGTCTGATCAAGGCCGGCATGCCGAAAACGATGGTCTGGGAGCCTGGATTCTGGTTGTACCCGTGCAAGATCTGCTACCTGTACGTGGTCGACGAATCAACCAAGAAGGACGATGGCACGCGTTACACCCTGGCTGACCAGATCGCGATGGCTGAACTCGAAGACCCCGGCCGGACTCAGTGGACTACCTGTACGGATGACGAGCGTCTGGCGCACGTCCCAGCCAAGATCGTCGACAAGATGCTGCTTCCAGAGCACGAGCGCGTCAACAACTGGGTCTCGACCAAGTTCCAGTGAAGTCATCCTCCCATCCAGCATCCACAGCGGTCCTGGATGTAGTTGCATATCCGTAGCGTAACACTTTAATTCCACAATCACCGTTAACGCCTTCGCTGTATTCATCGTTTCCTTCTTCGGTCAGGTTATCCAGGTCGGTTCAACCTTAAGCGCAGCCTTGTTCATCTCTTGCCGCTTTGGCACCTCCTTCAGGGCGACATAGTCAACTTCATACACTCGTCGTCGAGAACTCCATTCTCGCTCGGGTTGCTCTCCATAATCACAACTCCATCGTAGATCCGCTCCATACAAATTCACAATCAATTTTCCGTAATTCACACATTCACATCCAGGCATTTCGGGTCTCCGTCTGGGAATGTCCAACTGGGATCAATACTCCCAACTGGGGTCGCCCCATTCGGACTTGACCACTCCCAACTATTGTATGTTAGGGTGGTCGTCCCCAGCCTGCATGGCTTGGAACCGCGCTCGGGCTTTCGCCCCTTGATTGAACTCATACAAGAGCGCTCCGCAATTCAGCTGTGCCATCGGTATCCATTCAGGCTCATCGTACCCCTTCCATTTGATGAGATACTCTCGTGCCCGTTTGGACGTCCGTGTACGCTTGTTCCACCTGAGATCCATGATCTTCTCCACTTCGTACTCGTCATTCTCGTTGTCCGCCTCCCAGCTCTCTTCGGGAAGAAGTGCTGTGTCAAAGTCATCGTTGTCTTCGATCTCCGGTTGGATTATAGGCCGTCTGGGATACAACGTCCGGGGTTTCAGTCGACTGATGTGAACCCAAGGGTTTACACGGTAAACCGTGTCCTCAACCTTGAGCCTCACCCGGAACTCGTCAACCACTTCGGCGATCCTGAATGGACCATGCCACAAGTGGGCCAACTTGCGACTCAGACCCGGTTGCACTTTTGGGATGTACAGCCAGACTGCATCCCCAACGTTGAAACCTGCCTTGAGCCGGTCTGACAACTCGTTCCACTTCCGGGTTTGCTCTTCCGAGCGAGCCCGTTTGGCCTTCCTCTGGAGGTCTTCTGCACATGCCCGAGCGTAGCCGTAGTCCCGCTGGAGTTTCCTTCGCAACTCATACGCGGTCCGTTCAGGGACACTGGAGGGTTAGGCCCCAGCATAGCTGAGATCGTACTCTTGGCGTCCCAACCGTGGACCAGGTAGAATGGGGTATCCAGCCGGGTTGCATCAAACGACGTATTGAGCGCGAACATGAGTCTCTCTGCGTGGTCATCTCAGTCGCTCTGGTCAGCTTCTGCGATGTAAGCCCGGATGGACCTCACCACAGTCTGGACGGAACGTTCCTCCTGTCCATTCGCCTGGGGTCGGTATGCCAACGTAGCTCGCTGTCGGCTACCCAGAAGTTCCCTGAACCGAGTGAAGACTTCACTCATGAACCTGGGATCCTGATCGTGACGCAGCAGGGAGCTGGCTCCGAAGCAGCGGAACACCCTCTCCTCATACGCTTCAGCGACATCCTGAGCGGTGGTAGAACTCATCGGTTTGCACATAACGAAACCCGAAAACGCATCCTGGAACAGGAGCAAGAACGTGTTAACCCGTTCGGACTTCGGCAAATGGGTCACGAAGTCCATCGAGACCACTTCGAAAGGCTCTCTGGACTCGATGTTCCCGGGCGAAGGTCCTGGATTCGGCGGACGCCACTTGCCACTGGCGCAGTCGGTGCACTCCTTGACGTATCTTTCAACATCTGCGTACATCCCTGGCCAGTAGAACTCCAGCCGGAGTTTCTCGTGCGTCCGGGTTATTCCCTGATGGCCACCTTGGAAATCCTCATGGACGTAATGCAACATGTCCAGACGGAGTGCTTCCGGTACGACTAGGCGCAACTCGTCGGTCTTGTCGCGAGGTTGGTCCCGATTGGACCTGACCAGTCGATAGAGCACGTCCCGAACGTCCAACGCAAATAGGTCTGCCCGCTTGGACAGCTTGCGGATCTCTAGTCGGGAAAAGTCATCCAGGTCGCCCTTAAGGAACTTCTTCAGATTCACCAACTCGGGATCAGCGTCCTGGTGCGCCTTGATCCGGCGCCACCTCTCAGCTTGATACTCAAGTGGGTTCATAGGCTCACCCCGGTTGGAGTCCTCGCGGCTCTGGCTACGAGTTAATGCGGCCAGGACCCTGGCTGCCATTGGCAGGGGAGCTGACTCCGGCCCGGGACCAGCATCATCCGGCACTCCAGTAGTAGATTCCCGACTGGGCTCGTCGGGGGGATCGTCGCTCGGGGCCACTTCAGGCTTCATAATCTGTTCGTGGATACGAGAGACTTGCCCCAGATGTTCCATCTCGTCCGGGTCATTTATCGCACAGGACTCTCCGAGCGCCAGTGTCTTGGACGTCAAGTAATCTGCAGCCTGGTTGTACTCTCGCTTGACATGTACCAGCCGGATCGAGGCGAAGTTCCGTTTCATCTCCTCGTACTCGGCCAGACGTCGCTGCAGGTTTGGCTGGTTGCAGTTAATCAGTCCTTGAGCCTGTTGTATGACGATCCGAGAGTCTCCGACAACAACCACATCCGGGATACCCCGGTCGTGGATCATCTTCAACCCATTCAGGAGGCCGAGGTACTCAGCGTCGTTTACCGTAACATCATCCAGGATGAAACCCCACGCGGCCAGGACTTTCCAGCCGGGGAGCTCCCAGATGGTACACCCACAACTTCCTCGCCTCGTCGATGTCTTCGCAGCTCCGTCGAAACTCAAGACGTATCCAGCGAAATTAGCCTCCAGCATCTCCACACTGATCACCGGTGGGGGTTTCACTTGACCCTTGGCCGGGATGAGCGACTCAGCAACCTCGTCCAGGTGCTCACGCGGCGTTATGCCAGCGCCCAGGATTGCAGCCAGGCCGTCTTCGTCTCGCTTCACCTTCTGCACTTCCAAGTCCCAATGGGATAGTGTTAACCCCCACCGGACATGTCGCCCGTCAGCGGTCTTGGACTTCAACAGCCAGGACAGTACTGAGTACCTGGTGTATACCTTGATCGGGCAACCCTGGACGAGAGTGTTAAACACATCCAGAACTCGCATGACAGCAACCGCCTCCTTCTCGGCAATGTGGTATCGTGAGGCGAGGCCGATGAAACCTTTGTCGCCCAGGGGGGTTCGTATAGCGCAGCCCAAAACTGTTCCCCAGGGATAGACTCAGAGAATCGACTTGAGAGTCAACAGCAAGAAGATAGACCCAGAGATTCGCAGCCGCAAAGCTTTAAACCCTGAGAATCACACTCCTTGGTTGGCGTGGGTACCTTGTGTAATCCCTGTCGGCTCGTTTGTCTTCGACGGAACGGCACTCCACCAGTTGAAAATGTAGCCTCGAAGAAGTGCGGGGCCGCACGTCTACTTCAGAACGCACCTCCACACCAAAAGGCAAATCCAGAGAATCAGATCCCCTGAAACCCAGAATATCACGAATTCAGGGTCCAGGATTTCAGTCAACTCTGGGACTTGGAACTCAGAAGACACCTTACCCGAATGCCCTCCTAGCTCGATAAAACCAACAAATACAGTGTATACAAACACTGCAACTAGCCGTCACTTATTCTTTTGGACCCTTGGACGGTGGGTCACACACACACTAGGCTCACTCGAGTCTGAAATTCAGGGGCCTAGCTCCCCTGAGACTCACACAAACGCGCACCACCTCCAATAAAGGAGGAAAATACAATCACTATCAGTTACCTTCCCTTCACACAAGCAGTCAATACAAAATCCTGGAGGCGACTACCTAGCACCCCAGAATACCCTCTGGAATAATATGAAATGGGCTACCACGAGCACAGCAAGTGACCCAACTAGGATATGGAATAGATGGATCACCCCAGGAAGCTCAAGGCCGTCGCTGGTCACCACCTAACTGGACTTGAGTTTGATGGAGCCCACACAGACGGCTGTCCTTCGCCGTTGATGTGCCCTTAGCGTCCCGCGGTCGTAGTCTCGGGTCCTCCGGATTTCCGTCGGCAGGCTTGCCCGAAGTCACTTGCGCAGTACAGGGTAAAAGGAACTCTGTTTGGTTTTTATCAACTACTTCTCTCTCTCTCTTCTTCGGGCAAATATCTTCTGTTCACTATGCTTGGGGTCAAAATGTCTTGTCTTGGGTATACCTTGGGATCAGCGGTCCAAACTTGCGATCGGCTTGCGAATCCATTGTCGCACGGCGTCGGAAGTGCCAATTGTGGGTCCTTAGACTTGGTTTAGTATGGTGCAGGACTCCCTCTCGACTCCTCGAAAGTATCCAGTCTGCGCATCCACAACGGTTCTTCAAGGTCACGCATCACTTTGATTGCAGACTGACCGCGAACTGACTCGAATCCCTGAAAATCAGGTGACACTCAGGGTCATCTTCTGAAATCCTGGGAATTCTGAGGAATCTTGGGGAACTGTGGGGATTCTTGGGTGTTGACTCGGGAAACACTTAAGTTCAATATAGAGAGTCTGGATTTATGGTCCAAACCCAGAGAATCATCTTTGGAACTCTGGGTCACCTGCACTCAGGGATGTGAACTCTGGGTCATCGTGCGGCACTCTAGGTTTCCGTGCGGCACTCTGGGTAACAAGTCTGCTGCAGTGCAGACTCGTGTGTATCTCATCAAAGCCACACTTTTAGTGGGTTTAGCGGCCTCCTGCGCATGATCATGGTAGTAGTGGGTTGATTCTCAGGGTAATTTGATCCTCTGGGGCACTCTGAGCCACAGCAAGATGAGGCGTACTCTGGAATACATTCTCCAGAAAGACTTTCCGCCAGACTTTAGGCACTCATCGTAAGGGAAAGTCCGCGGCTGGACTGAGTGTTCTCTGGAATTCTGGGCGTGCACTCCCAGCATTCACACTTCCAGCCAGTTGGGCCCATCTGCGGTCAGACGCTGGATTCATCCCGAGAAATCACTTCTCTCCCACAGTCGCCATCCATGTCACACGGGTACAGCCGCGCCGTATCCAAGTCATCCACCAATCAGCATCCGATACAAACTCCAGGTCACAGAGGTGACGGCACATCGTCGGCAATTTTCTGGGGACCGCCTCGTGTCATCCGCCCCTCCTGGTCCGGGTCCATCAAAGAGGAAATCGCTCCGAACTGGTGAACCATGACCAGGCCACAAAAACACACAGGTTCATCCACCGTCGACTTCGATACGGCCGTTGCACTCTGTCGACTCCCAGGGTTTCACTCACTTTGGCGACACCCTGTCTCCCCAACGGTTGGTCAGGACCTATCTTCAAGGTTCTCCTCTCAAACGCAAAACTCCAACGGGCAATGCGCGGTCACATCGCCATTTCGCAGATCGTCAACATGGCGGAGAGCGCGACTTCGGACGGCAAGCAAGCGACGGCACCAGCTCAAGGCATGGCGCCCCCCGGCAGCGCGCCACCTCCGACACAGCAGCGCACCGGCGACGCCCCTGCGAGCACCGCACCAGCAGGCGGTGGCAGCGGTCAGACGGGTAACTCCGCGTCCGGCGACACTTCGACGGGCAGCACCACGACGGGCGCGACCAAGCGCGTCTCCTTCTCCAACGCCACCGGCAAGACCTCCGACGCGAACATGCGCGAGGCCGATGGCAACGCCTCGGCTGATGCTGCAACCCAGGAAACTGGTGACGCGAACTCAGAGTTCAAGGCTCCAGACGCGGGCGGTGCGGCTTCGGACGTGAACATGGAGGGCGCCCCTGAGTTCAAGTTACCACGACACGCGACGCTAGAGGACGTCAGGGGACTCATCTTTGCAGGCATGCTTCGGCAGGAGGAGGTCGATCCCCCTGACTCCCTGGTCCCTGAACGCCCCCCCCCCCCGCACTGGAAACTGCCGGCTCCGCCGAATCTAAAGACCAACGCGTATCTCGTGGGGGTCCCAGGGATCGTGAATGACATTCGCGTGGGCGCGTTCGCCATGGAAGGCTACGGCGGCGCGACCACGTTAGTCGGCTTCGAGGAGCTCTCCGACGAGGATCTTCAGGGATTGAAGGAAGTCTGTGGCGCCGACGCTGGAATCGATGTCCTATGTCCACGTCGTTCGCCTCTTTCAGCGTTCGAACTGGACAATACCCTGAATTCCATCGGTATTCGACGCGAGATGGCCTCACTCCTGCGTCACTTCAACAGCACAAGGCTCGCTGAGCGCGTTTTCAAGATGACCGGTTACCTGCGTCGAGTCCTCGGGGCCTACCGAAACATGCGTTCTCTGGCTGACTCTCAGCAGGGTTTCACCGCCACTCAGGAAGTAGTCGACACGCGACGCAAGTACAAGGAACTGAAGCGCGCCTGGAAATTCACGTGCGACTACTGGTTCCTGGAGGTCCAAGAGGCCCTGGGCAAGGTGGATGACGCTGAGTCCAAGTACAAAGTCGCGCTGGGCGAGCAGAAGACGCGGTATCAAGACGAGATTGATTCTCTGGAGTCCGAGAAGGCGCAACTCAAGGCGCGCCTTGCTGACTCTGAGGCACAAGTGCGAATCCTGAAATCGCGTCTTGAGTCAGCCACGGGGACCCCTGGAAGTTCTCCGATTTCCTTCAAGAGCACACAGACTTCACGGGTAATTGGGAGCGCCTCCACGACCTCTTCAAGCTCTGCATGAAGGACTCGAAACCTCCCGAATCATGGGACACTGTCATCAACGTCACGGCCATGGACAAGCGCAAGGCAGCGGTGGCCCCGTACCCAGAGAAAAGTATACGTATGCCTCCGTCTTCGGGGTCTGGATCGTCCGGTCGTCCTGAAATTCTGGATCTCACGGATCCTGGCAGCAAGCCTCGCTGCGGTTCGAAGACCGGGGGCAAAACTCAGGATTCCAAGAAATCTCAGGGTTCCAAGAAAGATCAAGACCCCAGAAAATCACGGGATTCCACGGCGCCGGGCGAGTCGCCACGGCAGTCAGCGCACCCTAAGCCTCACAAAGTTCAGCGTCGCCCCAAGGATCACCAACCAGGCCGCGACTCTGTGCGTCGCGCCAGCGAGAAGACTGTGGTGTCCAAGGAGGCCGCACACATGATGCTCCCGGGGGGTGTCGTCTGGAAGGAAGTTCGGCCAGACGTGCGTCAGGCCATTCTTGCTGGGCTCAAGTACGACACAGCCATGGAGTGGATTGGCAGCGACCGGGCGGCTCACGGGCACTTCAGGCAGCCGCATCTGAACAAGATGCTCGTGAGCATGATGTACTGGCGTCGTCTTGTCCTGACTCCCTGGAGCAAGTACGTCCCTGAAGCCTACTACGAAATGGCAGACGAGCGTCTGGACAGGTGCCTTCGACGCGGTGATTTGCCACCACCCTGGAGGAACCTCGATGACCACATGGTGTACCCTGATGCGGACGCCGATTCCACGGTGGACGACATCGAGAACGACCCGGACTACCAGCCTCCCGCCCAGGAACCTGAGGAGAACGCCTCTAGTAATAGCTCCGAAGAGGAGGAGGAGGAGGTCGCCCCTGAAACTCTGGAGGACATCGAGGACGCAGAGGACGACGACGACGCAGAGGACGACAATGGCGTAGAGGACGACAATGGCGTAGAAGAACCCCTGGAAGTCAAGCCTCCTGCTAAGCGCCCCCGTTCTGAGTCAAGCAAGAAACCTCAGGGTTCCAACTCGAAGTCGAAGAAGAAACGTCGCACGGGAAACAAGACAGACACTTCTGCCACTCAGGGTTCTAGTGGTACTCAGGGGACCAAGGCTACATCACGCTCCAAGCATCCGTCGGCGCTCGCGCGGAAATCGTACTCGGAGCTCACTTCAAGTGCGTTGATGACGGCCGAAGACCCTGAGGACAACGAGACCTCCTGGCGCATCTATGGGATTCTTGTTCAATATCCAAGTTCGACCCAGAGTGCGTTTTGCCAGACTCCCGGGTTCCCAGAGTACGAGATCCACAAGTATTCGTTCGACGTTGCTCACGAGCGCTGGGGCCGTGAGGCATACCAAGAAGTCCTGGATTCTGAACCCTGGGAGAGTATGCTTCAGGGTCGCTTCCGAGTGTTCTACTTCCATGAGCGAGAGCTACTCTCCGCGAAAGCGCTCAAGCTGATGGAGGACGTCGTGGACGTCATGCACAAGCACGCACAGGCAAACTGGGAGCGCGGGCACTGGGTGCCTATTCCGACTGAAGACCAAGCAGACGCCACCATGGAATCTCAGCGGAAGTCGCGTCGAAACGCGCTACGCAGAGCGCACAAGACGCTCGTCGAGCGCTCGCGCAACACCCCTGGGTTCATCCCGTCGTTGTGGCACGAACCGGGTCTCTGGAAGTTCCCGGACAAGTGCTGCTACTGGATTTGGGAGGATCCCAGGGCCAAGAAACTCGGGGGAGCTGAGTGCAAGGACTTAGACGTCCAGCTAGCGACGTTGGACATTCGTGAGCCTGCTCGAGTCCAATGGAACACGGCGGCTGACGACGATGAGTGGCTACAATACGTGCCGAACAACATCAAGCGCCACATCAAGCGCCTGGCCATCCGCAAGCTCAACCCGCTGTCTCTCAAGCACTCGTGAGAGTCAAGGTCACCACCAAATCCCGAGAACCACCCGAACTTCACATGTCGTAGCGTCATTCTCCTTAATACCCAGGATTTCATCTCGACTTCAATGTCTTCCCCAGAAATTCATCATTTTCTGACTTGTTCTCTGGGTCATCCGACTTCGTTTACTATCTCCATGTCCTTGTAAAGCTCGCCGCCTTCATCTTCCTTCTTACACACTGTCAAAGCCTCAGCAGTATCACCTTCTCCATAATCAAATCAAATCAAATCACATTCACGTTTTCCGTCTCCAATATTCACACATTCCGTCGATTTTCCCCAGAGTTTCACAGTGTCACCCAGAGTTTCCCCTGAATATCACGTGTAACTCTGGGTCATTGTCACCCCAGAGTGCTAGACTCCTGGGTGATCATCTCCAGCATGCATGGCCTGGAAACGGGCCCGCGCTCTTGCGCCTTGATTGAATTCGTAGAGCAGGGCACCACAGTTGAGCTTCGACACAGGCAGCCACTCGGTCTCATCATACCCCTTCCACTTCACAAGGTACTCACGAATTCGTCTCGCTGTCCGAGTCCGTTTAGTCCATCGCAAATCCAGGATTCGCTCAACTTCGTACTCATCGTTCGCAGCGTCGGGCTCCCAACTGTCTTCAGGCAGCAGCGCCGCATCAAAGTCATCATCCTCGTCCACGTCGATCTCCACAGTGGGCCGCTTCGGGAATAGTGCTCTGGGTTTCAAACGGCTCACGTGTACCCAGGGATTCACGCGATATCCTGTGTTCTCGACCCTGAGTTTCACGCGGAAGTTGTCATGGATTTCCTGAATTCTGAAGGGGCCATGCCACATGTGAGCCAGTTTGCGGCTCAGCCCGGGCTACATTTTGGGTATATACAGCCGCACAGCATCACCGGCTGCGAATCCTCCCTTCAGTCGTTTGGACAGCTCTCTCCACTTCCTGGTTTGTTCGGCAGAGCGCGCGCGCTTAGCCTTCTTCTGAAGATCCTCAGCGCAAGCTTGCGCATAACTATAGTCACGCTGTAGCTTCCTGCGTCACTCGTACGCAGTGCGCTCCTGGATACTCGAGGGCCTGGGTCCTAACATTGCAGAGACCGTGCCGTGCGCGTCCCAGTCGTGAACCAGAAAAAACGGAGTGTCCTGGCGAGTGGCATCGAACGATGTATTCAGGGCAAACATCAGGCGCTCAGCATGGTCGTCCCAGTCACTCTGGTCCGCCTCAGCAATGTACGCTCGAATGCTGCGCACGACAGTCTGTACCGACCGCTCCTGTTGTCCGTTCGCCTGGGGGCGATACTCCAGAGTGGCTCGCTGCTTGCTACCCAAAAGTTCACGGAAGCGCGTGAACACCTCACTCATGAACCTGGGGTCTTGGTCGTGCCTCAGCATCGAGCTCGCGCCGAATCTCCTGAAGACCTGCTCTTCGTACACTTCAGCGACATCTTGCGCCGTGGTGGATCTCATGGGTTTACACATGACGAATCCTGAGAACGCATCCTGAAAAAGCAGCAGGAACGTGTTCCCACGGTCCGACTTAGGCAAGTGTGTCGCGAAATCCATAGACACAACTTCAAAAGGGCGCCTCGGTTCGATGTTCCCAGGGGAAGGCCCTGGATTCTGGGGGCGACCCTTGCCGCTGGCACAATCCACACACTCTTTGACGAAAACTTCCACATCAGCGTACATGCCGTGCCAGTAGAACTCAGAGCGCAGCTGCTCGTACGTCCTCGTGATCCCCTGGTGCCCACCCCGAAAATCTCCGTGAGCGTAATGCAGGATATCCGGTTGCAGAGCTTTCGGCACCACGAGTCTGAGTTCGTCAACCATATCTCGGGGTCGATCTCTGGTAGACCGACTCAAGCGGTACAGGACTTCTCTGGAATCCAACACGAAACCATCAGCGACCTTCGCGAGTTTCCTGGCTTGAGCGTGCGACAGCTTCGTCGTGTCTCCTTTCAGGAAATACTTGAGTTGCAGCTCATCTTTGTCCTGGTGCACTTTGATGCGTCGCCAGCGTTCCGCCTGGTACTCCAGAGGTCCCATGGGTTCGCTTTGGGCTTCGATCTCCTGAGTTCGCGCCCGAGTCATTACTGCAAACACTTTGGCCGCCACAGGCAACGGAGCGCACTCAGGTCCAGGGATACCCAGAGTTTCGACACCCTGAGAATCACTCCCCTGAATTCCAACGTTCAATAACACCTTCGGTCTTACCAACTTCTCGTGAATCTTGGACACCAACTGCAGATGTGTTCGTTCGTCAGCATCCTCCACCTTCTAGAATTCACCAAGCGCGAGGGTCTTAAACGTCAGGTAGTCTGCGGCCTGGTTAAACTCTCGCTTGACATGCACCAGCCGCACAGACTTGAGCTTCGTCTTCAGCACTTCATACTCCAGCTTCCTCTGGAGATTTGGCTGATTGCAGTTGATTAGACCCTGGGCTTGCTGGATGGCAATCCTGGAGTCCCCAACTACAACGATGTCCTGAATTCCACGCTCAATCGCCAGAGTGAGGCCCTTCAGAAGTCCATGATGCTCAGCGTCGTTCACAGTCACGTCCTCCAGGGTGAATCCCTGGGCATCCAGGATTTCCCACCCGGGGACATGCCATAGGATGCAGCCGCAGCTCCCTTGTCGCGTGGAAGTCTTAGCGGCGCCATCGAAACTCAGAATACACCCCTCGTAGTCCGCTTCCAGCATTTCCATACTGATAGGCACTGGAGGTTTAACGCGCCCCTTAGCTGGGATCAGGTTTTCAGCGATCTCATCCAAGTGTTTCTCTGAGGGTAATACCCGCACCCAGAATTGCAGTCAAGCCGTCTTCATCCCGTTGAACTCTGCGTATCTCCAGGTTCCAGTGGGAGAACTTCAGACCCCACTTCACCGTTCGGCCGTCTGCCGACTGCGAGGTCAGCAACCACTTCAACACCGAATATCGCGTGTAGACGACGATCTTAGGGCTACCTTCAACCAAAGTGCGAAACACCTCCAGGACTCTCAGGATAGCAATCACCTCCTTTTCCGCAATGTGATACCGCAGCTCAGCGTCATTCAAGACGCGACCTGTGAATCGAACCGGGTGCACAATCCCGTCGTACTCCTGGCCCAACACGGGTTTGCGTGGGGAATAATCACGAAGGGCCTTGAACGATCTGGATGTCTGAGCAACGGAGTCGAAACGATCTTGCGCTTCAAGATTTCAAAGGCTTCCTGGGCTCTCGACAGGTCTCTCCTGGATTTCACTTGTTCCTCAGTCAGCTCGTACAGGACGGCCGCGATCACGGGTAGATCTTCAATGAACTTGTTGTAGTAATTCAGACTCCCCATGAAACTCTGGACGCCTTTCAGTGTCGTCGGGAACGGCAAGTCTTGGACCCCCTTCGCGATTTTAGGGGTCGCTTGGATGCCCTCAGCACTAATCTCGTGAGAGAGGTACGGAATGGACAACTTCCCGAATTCGCTCTTGGGAAGACTCACAGAGATATTCCAGTAACGAAGTCGGAAGAGCAGCGCGTTCAGATCCTGGCACAGCTGCTCCCAAGTAGGCGCACCGTGGGCGATGTCGTCGATAGACGAGCTTCGACCCAGGACAGGGCCCATCTGAGAGGGAGCCGGGATGTTACGCTGAAAAACAGTCATCTCATCCGTCAACACTGAAAGTCGCGGTGCATTTTCACCTGAAACTCTGGGTTCCCCAGAGTTGAACCCCAAAAAGTCTAAGACATCTTGGTCGACCTCATGACCTCTGGGGTTCCGACAGGCTGCGAGGCAACATCGGTCACCGCCTCCTTCAGAACGTCACCCAAGTCACTCGTATCAACAGCAACATCTCGGAGTTCAGGAGGGTCTTCAGGAGGCACTCCTTCAGTCTGAGTTGCAGCGTCTTCAGCGAAGCGCACGCGACGAGGCTTCGGTTTTCTGAGAATCGAGGCAAGCACTGCCATGTCGGGGCCCTTTGTAGGTTGCGGCAGAATCTTCGTAGGCCACTGATACTCTGGGGTCTCGACACAGGATGGCTCAAGCGCAGCCAGGCGTTCCGCCCGAAGTCTGCCCTCGCGCGACTGAACACTCTCCAGAATAAGCGTCTGCCACTCCCGATACGCAAACGAACCAGGGCGCACAAAGCGTCCGGCACGTGGGAAGTAGCCGTACTCCACAATTCGGGCGACTGGCGTTCTGTTGTGAATCCAGACGTCCTTGTCCGAGATGTTGACCACCTTCACGGCGACCGGCCAGGATCTCGCAGCGTAAATCAGGTGCTTTACCCAGCGGTCACCTCGTCCTGCCCACACAACCTCACGCTGTGGGTTCGTCGGTCCATACGAGATCTTCACCACCTTGGATTCCCCAGGGGCCAGGTACCAACTACCTGTGGTTTCCACGGGCATGTCGACACCCAGGCGATCCTCTGGAGCCCATCCACACATCATGATCGCCTCTTCATCCGGAAGTGTCACGAGACCTTCGCGAACACTGATCCTCACTCCAGCTGCAAACATGAAACTCATCCCCAGAAGAACTTCGATCCCTTCGCCGATGTTAGCAATCCAGACATCCAGGAGATATATCACCCTCGAACCGAGAGTATTCTTCACCTGAGCACTGGCACCGATGTACGTCGGAACGCCTCCCATACCAGACACCTTGGTTTGCTTGTGCGACTTGAGCGTGAGTCCGAGCTTACGCGCTAAGTCGAAGCTCACAATATTCACAGTCGCACCGGTATCCAGGAGAACTCTCGTCCGGCAGTCGTTCGCAGCACCATGCACCATCGCCACATCACGTTTCTTTGGGTCAGGATCATTGTTTTCCCACCATCCGTAGCGCTCTCTAGGGTTCAGCTTGTACTCCACAATTTCTTCAGAGTTCACCGACCCCGAGTTCGCTTGTTCAGGATGCTGATTTTCAGGGGGAGTCATGAAATCCTGAGTCAAAGTAGTCATGCATTGTTGGTTATCCTGGGTTCTTGTTCTCAGCTCCGGGCCTACATACACTAGAACACATAACTCTGGGGCCTTCTTCAGCCCGGCGCGTACTGGGTCCCCACCCGGCGGGCTTATTGGTTTGACGGCCTCCCAGAGTTTGCTTCACCATCCAGGAGTTTATCCAGGATTTGGCTCGGCATGTCCTTCAGTGCACCTTGGCGGGCGAGTTTCTTCACAGCTTCCAGTGTCTTCCAGTCTTCACACGGTTTCCCGAGATGCAGTTTGCCACAGTTCTCGCACGGTTGCGCGCGACACAAGTGAGTCGGATGACCCGCTTCCAGGCAGCGATCACACTTCACGTCTTTCCAGCAGTTTTCCTCTGGGTGCCCCCACTTGCCGCACTTCTCGCAGAACTTGTCCCAATTCGGGTTTTCGCGGCGAGGGGAACGGAATCCAGAGTTCGCGTTCGGTCCTGGTTGGGCGTTCGGTGGACGCCATCCCATGTTATCCATCACGCGATAGACCTCGTTCGTCAGCGTCTGAGTCCACTCGGCACCCTTCATACTCGCCAGACTCCCAGCGCTAGGCGTAGAAGCTTCTTCTCCAGAGATCTCACGAGTTGACCCTGAATTCGCGCTCGCACTTCGGGCTGAAACTCTGGGTTTGTCCGTGGTTTCCTGGAAACGCGCGTGAATTTCAGGGTCTTCGTCTGACTCACAGTCAGAGACATCGCCCCTAGTCACATACGCACGTCCTTGTCGCTTCGTCTTGAAACGTCCCTGAGGAATGTTGTCGGCACGAAAGGTACGAACTCTGGGTGGCGGAACATCATGGTCGCTGCGGCTCCAGACATCTTCGTCCTGTTCCAGAGCGTACTCTAGATCAGCGATACTCCTGAATTTCTGGCCCTGCAGCGACGTCTTGAGGCGCGTGCCCCTGAGTTTCGTGATGAATCTCCGGATGTGTTTCTCCAGGCGCTTCGAAGACTTGCGAAAGTCAATGTCAGCCTTCCCAGCGGCGGAATTCAGACGATAAAAGAAATCCAGGGCGCTCTCTGAGTTCTTCATCTCCATCGTGAAGTATCGTTCAGAGTACGACGAGCGCGCTTTGCAGTACTTCTTCCTGAATGCAGACGCCAACTCCTTCCAGTCACGCTGAGTGTGTTTGGGCAACTGGTTGAACCAGTCACGCGCAGCTCCCGAGAGTTTCAACTTGTGTTCCTGAATTCGCATCTTCGTAGACCAACCTCCCTGAGCCGCCATGTTCGCAAAACGCTCCCACCAATGCACGCGTTCCCTGAGTGACGCCTTAGTATCGAACTCACCCAGAGTATTCGAATTGATGTACGGTCTGAACGTCAGGAGCGTAGTGCCAGCTTGAGCCGTAGAGACCGTCGTCAGCTTAACCCCAGGGTTCCCGTCCGAACTGTCTTCCGAACTCTCAGAGGACGAGTCATCATCGCTGGAATCGGAGCTTGGGTCTGAGTCCGAGGGTGGATTGACATCCTGACGCTTCATCTTCTGCTGCTGGTGTTTCTTGGGTGCAGAGCGCTTGGAGTCTTAGAGGTCGCTGTTCTCCTCGGATCCGACGTCTTCCTCAGAGACACAGGCTCGAGCTTGACAACTTGCGTCACCTTGGTCTCCGTAGCGCCATGTCCCCGCTGGACGCGCGCGATTCTGCCGGAAGTGTCGGCGGAAGTCTGCGCGAGGGTCGCTCTTAGCTGGGAGGCGGCGAGATTCGGAAGTGTTCTTCGGATCAGCTGTCTCCCGTCTCTGGCCTGTGACACTTGCGTTTCCGTTGATTACGCCTCTGGATTCTTGGGGTTGGGTTGCAACTTCAGGGTTCTGAGCCACTGACGACCTCACATTTGTTGCCAAATCAGGGGCGACGGTTGCGCGACGCGCTTGAACTTGGGCCAATGTTGCCCGAAGGTCGCGCACTTGGCCGGCGTGGAAGCGCTGGATATTCTCGGAAGACTCCCGCTCTCGCTCTTTCTCCGCCTCAAGTTATTGGACCTTCTGCTCCATAGTTAACATTTGTTCCTTCCAACCGGCGTAGGTCTCGGAAACCCAGCGCGCGCGCTCCGAGTCGGCTTCGGCTTCGTGCCGTCGCCAGCGCTCGGCATAGGCGGCATCCAGGCGCTCACGCTCAAGACGAACAACTTCCGTGATACTCTGGGTCATCCCCTGAGTTTCAGTGGAACTCTGGGTCTGGCGAGCCTCCACGTCCTGCGCACGCCGTTCCGCTTCTCCTCGGGCGATCTCAGCGTGGACCAAGCGATCCGTAAGTTCCTGGTTCTGGCGACGCGCGCCCAGGTCACGTTGTTCCCTGAGGCGCTCGCGCTTCAAGGCATCCAGGCGTTCTCTGGCGAGAAACTCGCGTTGCTCCTGTTCCATGCGGGCCTGCCACTCCTGCTGTTGTCGCAAGACGTTCAGCTCGATTTGGGCGGGCCCAGACCTCGCGGACACGGACGAAACTGACCCAAGATTCCTGGATCCACTCGAGCGGCTCGACGCAGGTGATTTTCTGGGTTTTGTCGAGCGTCGAGAGCGCACCTCGCTCTTAGAGCTCTGGTGTTGACTCCGCTCATCGGCGCTGATATCACTTGGACCACCAAATCCAGCAATCGGGGCAGAAACCCTGAGTTTCGGCTCGGAAGTCGTGGCTGAAATCCTGGGGAGACCGGCCTTCCTGGGTGCGATCTCTGGGTCAGAGTGCATCGACGACGCCATCTCAATGTCATCTTGGTCGACTGACACAATACGCGACGGGAGGACTGTCCGGGTGACCTGAAATCCAAGATCACCGGCAGCTGCAAATCCACCGGCACTCTGGGCCACAAGCGCTAGAGCTCCAACTCGTTGTCCAAGCGACATCATCGACGAAGACGAAGAGCTACCATAAGACGTTTGAACGCCCGAGGCAGTACTCTTATCCGAAGCGCGCGAGGTACCGATGACACTTGGCACCGCGCCTGGGGTGGCGTCCTTGGCTTCCGCCTCCAGAGAATCACGTCCATTGGACATGGAATTCAGGGGAGTGGAATTCTGAAGCGAGGCACCAGTCGAAGACTTGTACGCTGGAAGAGAGGGCAGCGACGGTGTAGACAGCGCGGATGGCGTTGACGGGACTTGTGGCCGAGGCGGTCCATGCTGAGTACGCTTGGATCGTTGCTCACCATCACTCGACCCTCGTGGGCTCCGTGAAATCCTGAGTCCAGTGACTCTGAATCTCAGGACAAACTGTCGGCCCAGTAGGTCCGCATCGTAGTCCGTCATCAATTGATCACCGTCTCCATCTTCCTTGTCTCGGTGCTTGCTCTTGGGCGCTTTGTGCGGCGTGATCTTCAGAGTTTACCTTGAAAGGCACACCAGCTATCACCAATCTCCACTCGACCAGTTCCACAGCGATGAAATTCTGGGTTTCCTCCATGACAGAGCGCACCAGACTTTCTGGAATCCTGGAAGCACGCGTCGAAGACCAGCCAGGGATCAAATTGACAAACTCAAATCCAGCTTCGAAGAACAGAGTCTGCAGAATGGCGACGCACTCGCGGGTGGTCATGATACTCTGGGGAATCGTAGTCGCCATGAGATCCTGAGCAGTTCCGACGCCCCACCGGGCGAGGTGAAACTCAGAGATCCAGGCTTCATCTTGATTCTCCAGAGACAAACGTCACTTGAGGTAGTCTCCTGTTGCGTACGCGGCCACGAAGTACGAGTTGGCACCCGGTTTCGGAGTCGGCCACTCATAGACGACACTTGGCGGCGTCACCTTCCCAGGATTCACCTCTTCCCAGCGTCGAACTTCACGTCGGACGTACAGCACCATGCTCCCGGCGTCCAACGCCGCTGCTCCCGATTCCGGAGCAGGCGCAGCAACTTCCCGGATGTCGCTTTCAGGCGTCTTCCTGGGTGCCGCTTGCGAACTTGGCGCTGAAACTCTGGGTTCAGGTGGTGCGAACCCAGAATTCACCCTGGAACTCTGAGTCTTTGCCTCCTCCTTCGCTCGCACGGGCTCCGACTTCGCTTCCACAACAGACTCGTCCGAAGATGAGACCAAGTCAATCAACTCCGGGGGCTCAACCGCATTGGCGCCTCCCTCAGACGCCTGAGCACCACCCTCGCGGGTGTGCTCCTCTGGGACTTCAGGAATCCGCGACCCACAATTCATCTCCGTCGAACCTTGGAACCCAGGGGAAACTTCTTCCTCCTGAGTTTGCGATCCAGCAGCAGGCTGACCTTGGACTGCAGACGCCTCGACGTCCCCACCTTGCACTGCCTCGCTCTCGCGAGCAGCCTTCTTCGCCTTCCGAGCGTCGCGGACGACTGTTTCCAGGTCCTTGTGCTCCTCAGGCTCCATACCTTGAACACGACGCGACTGACGTGACGCCTCACCGCGTCCTCCGTCACCGCGTCCACTCTTCTTCGCCCCTCGTCCTCCAGGCATCTTGGTAGCTTGAAGTTGACGGGCACTCAACACTTCTTCAACACTTGATTCCGGTGAAATCCTCGACAATCGAATCCGGGCACGCGCACCAGCTGAGGCGAGGCCGATGAAACCTTTGTCGCCCAGGGGGGTTCGTATAGCGCACCCCAAGACTGTTCCCCAGGGATAGACCCAGAGAATCGACTTGAGAGTCAACAGCAAGAAGATAGACCCAGAGATTCGCAGCCGCAAAGCTTTAAACCCTGAGAATCACACTCCTTGGTTGGCGTGGGTACCTTGTGTAATCCCTGTCGGCTCGTTTGTCTTCGACGGAACGGCACTCCACCAGTTGAAAATGTAGCCTCGAAGAAGTGCGGGGCCGCACGTCTACTTCAGAACGCACCTCCACACCAAAAGGCAAATCCAGAGAATCAGATCCCCTGAAACCCAGAATATCACGAATTCAGGGTCCAGGATTTCAGTCAACTCTGGGACTTGGAACTCAGAAGACACCTTACCCGAATGCCCTCCTAGCTCGATAAAACCAACAAATACAGTGTATACAAACACTGCAACTAGCCGTCACTTATTCTTTTGGACCCTTGGACGGTGGGTCACACACACACTAGGCTCACTCGAGTCTGAAATTCAGGGGCCTAGCTCCCCTGAGACTCACACAAACGCGCACCACCTCCAATAAAGGAGGAAAATACAATCACTATCAGTTACCTTCCCTTCACACAAGCAGTCAATACAAAATCCTGGAGGCGACTACCTAGCACCCCAGAATACCCTCTGGAATAATATGAAATGGGCTACCACGAGCACAGCAAGTGACCCAACTAGGATATGGAATAGATGGATCACCCCAGGAAGCTCAAGGCCGTCGCTGGTCACCACCTAACTGGACTTGAGTTTGATGGAGCCCACACAGACGGCTGTCCTTCGCCGTTGATGTGCCCTTAGCGTCCCGCGGTCGTAGTCTCGGGTCCTCCGGATTTCCGTCGGCAGGCTTGCCCGAAGTCACTTGCGCAGTACAGGGTAAAAGGAACTCTGTTTGGTTTTTATCAACTACTTCTCTCTCTCTCTTCTTCGGGCAAATATCTTCTGTTCACTATGCTTGGGGTCAAAATGTCTTGTCTTGGGTATACCTTGGGATCAGCGGTCCAAACTTGCGATCGGCTTGCGAATCCATTGTCGCACGGCGTCGGAAGTGCCAATTGTGGGTCCTTAGACTTGGTTTAGTATGGTGCAGGACTCCCTCTCGACTCCTCGAAAGTATCCAGTCTGCGCATCCACAACGGTTCTTCAAGGTCACGCATCACTTTGATTGCAGACTGACCGCGAACTGACTCGAATCCCTGAAAATCAGGTGACACTCAGGGTCATCTTCTGAAATCCTGGGAATTCTGAGGAATCTTGGGGAACTGTGGGGATTCTTGGGTGTTGACTCGGGAAACACTTAAGTTCAATATAGAGAGTCTGGATTTATGGTCCAAACCCAGAGAATCATCTTTGGAACTCTGGGTCACCTGCACTCAGGGATGTGAACTCTGGGTCATCGTGCGGCACTCTAGGTTTCCGTGCGGCACTCTGGGTAACAAGTCTGCTGCAGTGCAGACTCGTGTGTATCTCATCAAAGCCACACTTTTAGTGGGTTTAGCGGCCTCCTGCGCATGATCATGGTAGTAGTGGGTTGATTCTCAGGGTAATTTGATCCTCTGGGGCACTCTGAGCCACAGCAAGATGAGGCGTACTCTGGAATACATTCTCCAGAAAGACTTTCCGCCAGACTTTAGGCACTCATCGTAAGGGAAAGTCCGCGGCTGGACTGAGTGTTCTCTGGAATTCTGGGCGTGCACTCCCAGGATTCACACTTCCAGCCAGTTGGGCCCATCTGCGGTCAGACGCTGGATTCATCCCGAGAAATCACTTCTCTCCCACAGTCGCCATCCATGTCACACGGGTACAGCCGCGCCGTATCCAAGTCATCCACCAATCAGCATCCGATACAAACTCCAGGTCACAGAGGTGACGGCACATCGTCGGCAATTTTCTGGGGACCGCCTCGTGTCAATCGAATCTCCGCGTCGTTCAGTATGCGCCCCGTGAACCTCACAGGCTGGATCACTCCATCATACTCCTGGCCGAGGACCGCGCAGGCGGCCCAGCGGTTAGCATGCGGAATAATCACGAATGGCTTGGTCCGGTCGGGGTGTCGACACGATCTTCCGTTTCAAGATCTCGAATGCCTCCTTCGCCCTTGACAGATCCCGGCCGGACTTCACTTGATCATCCGTAAGCTCGTACAGGACTGCAGCCACAACCGGGATATCCTCAATGAACTTTTGATAGTTGTGATAGTAATTGAGGCTTCCGAGGAATGACTGAACTCCCTTCAGGGTAGACGGGAACGGTAGATCCTGAACGCCCTTCGTGATCTTCGGAGTCGCGCGCAGTCCTTCGGCACTGATCTCGTGGTAGAGATACGGGATACTCAACTTCCCGAACTCACTCTTGGGCAGGCTGACAGAGATGTTCCAATAGCGCAACCGGAATAGCAGCGCATTCAGGTCATCACACAACTGATCCCAGGTGGGCGCCCCATGCGCAATGTCATCGATGTAGGAACTCCGTCCGAGGACAGGTCCCAGCTGGGACGGCATCGGGATGTTGCGTTGAAACAGAGTCATCTGCTCCACCAGGACGGGAACACTAGCTCCAGCCTTCTCCCGTTCGGATTCATCCCGGACGGACGGGTCCAAACCGAGGAACTCGAGTACATCCGGGTCCACCTGCTCTTCCTCTTCCCGAGGGAGACGCACGAAACCCCAAAGGCAGTTGTTGATCACCGCCTGATACACAAGTGGAGCATTCTTGAGAGTGTCCGAATGGGCAGATGAACGCGGAGATTGGCTTCGCACGTTCCGTCATCCGGACCGCCCAGAACCCGCTCGCCATGTCCAGA